ATTCAGAGTTTTCTGTGTGCATGTCTAATACTCTTTTACATGTGGTTAGTTTTGCTTTTTATGGTGATGATTCAGGACATTCGTGGCTCAGAGACATTTAAGGACAACCTTTAACATCGACGGAATAGGTCATCATAATGGACCATAATGGACCATAATGGACCAAAGGCTTATGTGTTTTTTATCATTGCATTTCCTCTGTTTCAACTGTTTGATTCTCTAATCTGTGTAGGCACATTGATAACTTTGTAAAGTCCTCCGGGATAACTACTGTTGTGATTAAGGTCTATACAATTATATATTGAATTGAATCGATTTGCTTTATACATTGTGGAGGAATTTTGAACAAATGATTACTTTCGTGTTTCGCTGAATATTATTTTTTGGTATTCCTTTTTCTGAGTTGTGCTTGGCTGGTTGCAAGACAAAATGCTGAAAGAAATCGTATTATCGATATTTTGAGACTGATATTAGTCTTTGCAAAACAGCTCAATTGTAGTCATTAGATGGAGAGCATTTTCTCTAAGTGAAGTTCACGGCACAAAATGTTCCGCAGCCGATACAATAACTAGAACGATAGTCAACTGTGTGGGGGTAGGTCCAAGCTTCAGACTACTCCTATTCGGCATTACTATGTAAAAGATTTATAGTGCATTTTCCTTATATAGCTCAAAAACATTATTGATGCACAATATACAAGATAATGATTTACGTTTTCAATAAATTAGAACCAAATAGAGGTGGGAAAAGGTGGTTGTTATTGCATCCACTGAGAGCATTATGAGCTCCACCCCTGTCTGCCTTTTAAGAAACTAGTTGAAGCATAATATACATATGTTCAGACAACTAAATAGTTAACGTTTAAAAGTTCAGTATATTTATGCTTAAAATGCAGTTCATTAGCTGGACAGAGAACAGGAAGCATATATAATTTCAGTTTTCATCCAAATAAAAGCTCAGTGGAAACAATTACCCTTACAGAACAACAAGGGCTTCCTCTACTGGACACTTGTGGGAAATGCAGGGACTATTCACCCGCCCAATTAACTTGCCACATAAAAGTCTTAAAGCATTAATAGGATGCAATTTATCTACAATTAAAAGCAAGGGATATTAAGCATAAGGCATTACCATTTGCAGACTGTAATGTGGTCATGTTGCTACTTATATTGAGTGTGATTATGGCGTATATGGGCTTTGGCCTTTTCTCTGCAGACATAAAACACCAGCAGCCAGTAATTGGACAAGATCTTAATGCGTAGTTCATAATTCATAACAGCTTTCTCTGCAATGCTGTGTGGGTTCCAGACAGCGGCTGTATAGGCAGATGGTGTCAAATGTCCTGTGTTAACCTTCAACGGCGACATCAGTGCGCATAGCCCCAATGGCTTTTTTATCAATTAAATATAGCCAAATATAACTAGTCTTCTTTCAGCTATTGTTCAGGATTCCGAGCATGATGTTCTTACTGAAAATGCAGCCCTAACTCACTCACACTCGCCTCACCATTAGGGAGAGCCAGCACATCCCAGCCCCCTCCTCCTCCCCCTGCAAAACCCCTCTAGCTGACTGCCCCCCTCCTCCCCCTCCCTCCCTCTCGTGGCTCGTTGCCATGGAAGCTGATTGGGAGAATTGCTCGGTCTCTCCAGCACACTGCCGCTCCATCCTTGGCGAGGGACAACAAGGCAACTCTGAACGCAGAAGATAAGAGCCAGCTGAAATCGTACTTTTGTCGCACCTAAAACACAATGTGTGCGTTCGTTACAAGGCGCAGTGTAGCGTTTGATTATTCACGCGCTTAAAAAAAGTGCTAAACTTGAAGCTAACTATATTTAATCCTTCTACGCGGGGAAAATCTGTCTTTGGTGCAGGAAGCATATTCCAATTTTGATGCACACTAATTGCGCTATGTTCCACCTGGCAGTGAAGGAAGTACAGCCGTGACAAGCCATTTTACACATTGAGCAGCTCCAAAATATTCCATGGCTAATCACAAGAGGGAAACTATTTTAAGACGAGCGACAGAGGGTTCAGGAGGAAAAGCGCAAAACTGCTGCACAAATGAAAGTAACATGCTCGCGTTCTTTGTACAAGCGTAAAAACATGTAAGCCCAAGGTTAGGAGATCATTACTGCTGTTTTTCCAGCGGATGAAATAGAAAAGTGAAGCATTCAGTATTGCTATGGCAACAATATTTAGGGGCCTGATGGGAGTTTTACTGCTATTCACATATCTGTTATTCATTTATGTTATATATGTCCCAGCCAACCAGAGTTTTACCATGTCGATGTGAAAACAACCGTTGAAAATGTTGCCAACGCCCAAACAAATTCTTAGCATCATAAGACAAGGTTATACGCAGCCTAAATTACAAACAGATTCAGGGATAGTCAATTTCAGACAACGTGTGTTTTAGTAGAATAGGGAAAACAGGAGATGTATTTTTGCATTTTTATTTATATGTTTGAATTTAATTGAATTTTTGTATAGCCCTAAATCACAACAGTAGTTATCTCGGAGGACTTTACAAAACCGTTGCATTCGCCAACACAGATCAGAGAATCAAACAGTTCACACACAAGAGGTGCAATGATAAAAAACACAGATGAACAATGTCCATAAATGTTGAAAAGATCCATAAATGTCGTTGATTGTCGAGTTTCCTGGATCATCACCAGTGTCATTAGACCCACCTGTATCGGCGAGGATATAATAAAATAATATAGATAACTTATAAATGAGCCCACATGAAATTCCAAGTGGATGTGTCTAATCAGATGCAGACTTAGGGGGAGATAACTATCATAGGCGATAATAATGCGTAAGTAACGTGACAATAAGCTTCTTCACATTATCGAGATACTGGCCCTGTTTCCCTTTCGCCGTTTTGCCCACGACTGTGCACTGCAGAGAGAGCAGCTGAACTGGAACAAGTTACTTACTCTTAATGTAATCAGGGTGTGTTTTTATCTTAAATGTGGCAGAAGCACTTTGTCCCTACATGCACATCATTTTTGTTAAAACAAATGTGACAGAAACATTTTGTTCCTACTTGAACTGAATCTCTCTTTGTGGCTCAACATAAAAAATTGAAAAGCGTTGGAAATTTCCATATTTGTATTTGCAGTAGTTTTGGGGGGGTTATTTTTTTCTCCATATCACTCGGACTAATGCAGGCATTGCACCGTATTCTTATTGTGTAGTCTATAAAAATGTACTTTATAAAATGCATAACAAATTGGGCACCGCCATTTTAGATTGAAAAGCAGGCATTGGGTTTGCTAGTACAGGTATGAGCTTGGCAGTAAACAGTTTTGTTCGATCTGAGAGGATAAACATTGGGGGTTAATGAGTTTTACTTTAGTCTGCCAGTCCTATCATCAGGAGCCACAGCATTGTTAATTAAATTGGCTGCACACCACATAATGAATCTGAAGCAATCTACAAAATGCAAAAACATTCAGATTTTCTCTCAGTCTTCATAATGTTGACATATATTTAGATGATAAACTTAAACTCCTGCTTAAAATCAAGCTCAAACAAACTCGTCAAAAGCAGACCGAGGCTGAGGTTTTGACAGAATCCACGCCAATTACACATCGCAACTGCATGTGCTCAATCTTTCATGACTTGCAGCTTTCCTTTTTGAGCAAACAGTCGGTGGATCTATTAACCATGAAAACTTGTCACACTCAAATAAATTGGTGCAACTTGAGTTAATCCAATTACCATTTGGATTTTGTTGAAAAGTTTTCCATTATTCTATATATTTCACAAGGCCAAATTTGTACTTTCCACCACCTCCTATCCCATCCAGCCATCCCATCCTCCCCCTCTCTTTATGATCTCAAAGGGGGCTTGCTTCACCTCAGTCAGGCTTCAATGCTCCAGTCGGCAGCAGCAGCATTCACACTGCTAACAAGTCTTTGTGAAGGGAGAGGGAGGAAGGGACTGGGTGAGCTGACAGTGTAGCCGTATAAGAGAGAGGCTGAGGCTGAGCTGCTGCACTACAGAGCAGGAGAGAGAGAGGAAGGCGAGCATCATGGCAGCGCTCACCGCATCATCACGACACATGGGCTGCTAGTGGAAGCTGGATGATGCAGACTATAGACAGGCAACGACTTCTCAAAAACCCAAACCACCATACAGGTCAGTGGAATTCTTTAAAAGGATTGTAATTGGTCTATGGGTCTGGTCCACAAATGATGCCAAGGCTACTGATGATGCTGTGTGTGGGTTTTTGTCAAAACAAATCCCCCTGTTAGTGTTTAGGAGTCTATACTGTAAATGCATGTGAACATTGTCAGGTAAAGAGATGTGTCCAGGTAAAAAGGAGACATTTTCAAAAGACAAAGCTTTGTGAAAGGATTATGCAGATGTACAATATCTGAAAGAGAGATGCATTGATGAATCAAAATAAAGAAAGAGGAGGGTAACAGGCTAGCAGGAGAATGGGGAGGTCTTGGCTTATAGAAGTAGGAAGTGGTCGTACAGTGGCTTGGACCGGCATTCAGCTTTACTGCATATGATGTAATCCTATACCAGTCCTGCTACCATTAAGTCACCACAGATATTTTTGCTATTGCATTCATTACTCAAATAGAAACATCAAATTAACAGAATATAAGTCCTCGTTTTTCAAAAATCACTATCAGACTCCATAAGGTTAATTTACTCTACAAGATCTAATAGGGTAGGAGGCTAGAAAATACAAATAAAACACATTATAGGAAAGCATATTTTATATTGCTGACTAATCCAAGGTTGCTTCCTGTCTGGCGCTTTGAAGAGCAGTACAAATGTGTTCTTTAGATTTCCCAAGACGCATCAGCGTGAGTCACAAGAGATAAAAATGGCATACATTCTTAATCGTCACGCCTGTTTGGCCTTGTAGAGCTTACCAACTTTCTACATGAACTTGGGTGAAGCAAAAAAGTTGAGAATGAAGAGAGTGAAAGTGTGGCCTCACCTGCGCAGGTGAAAGCAGTGGGCGGAGCACCATGATCAGTGGGATCCTGAAGAGGAAACATGAAGAGGGCCCCTCCTCACATCTGTCCACAGCGGCCTCCGACGATGAGGTGTCCTGCAGTGATAGTGGCAACAGCAGCGACAGCCTCAACCCCCCTGTGCCATCTGGACTGCTCCACTGTAAGCACAAGATAATGAGCAGACAGCATTTTATATTCAGACGGAGCATTATTATATCAGCTACTTTTCATTAATTGTGTTTTGTGTCTCATGCATGATTTAGTGTCACCATGCTCCCTTTACATTTGCTTACCCAAAGTTTTTTGTTAATCTGATGGCATGTAGAGTATTACAGGGCAAGCTTCTTGTTACCTTTAAGTCTTGGGTGCTTCAAAAGATGTAAACTGGCTTATAAGACTAAGGTACTCGAACCAGAGTTGGTCCAGTCAAACCACTGTGAACACGCGATAGAGCTCAAAACATTTCTGCTTCACATACCACCTATCCCCGCCCCTTTTTCATTAGAAAGGCATATTTTACTTGTGAATTAGTGCGCTATAAACTTACCTGTACCTCACGTCTGTTTCTCCTCTGCAGCTTCTCTGCAGCCGAAGTCCAAGAGGTTTCGCGGTCGGAACGTGCACTTTGAGAACGTGACCGTGTACTACTTCGGCCGCAGACAGGGCTTCACCAGTGTGCCCACACAGGGGGGAAGCACCCTGGGCATGTCCCCGCGCCACAGCTGTGTCCGGAGCTTCACTCTGCGGGAGTTTGCTTTGGAGCAGAAACGCAGCCACCGCAACATGCTGCGGCATCACCTGAAAGAGGAGAAACTCAACGCCATCAGGCTCAAGGTCGGTCACGTGGTCACCGCCTACACGTGCACCAAACAAGCTAGCGTTCATCCCATAGACTGTATATATTATCCATCCTAGCATCCATTATTTCTAGAATGTTCACTGTGCACATGTTTTCTCATTTACACTTACTGTGTCTCTGCAGCTCACCAAAAACGGGACAGAGTCGTCAGCGGAGGCGGACACACTGTCGCTGGACGACATTTCCGTGGACGAGCTCGAAGTGGACAACACGGAGGTGGACGAGTACTTCTTCTTACAGCCTCTGACCACCAGGCGGCGCCGTGCTCTGCTGCGGGCGTCTGGCGTGAGACGCATCGCGGTGGAGGAGAAGCACGAGCTCCGCACGCTGCGTGTGTCACGTGAGGAGTGCGGCTGCTGCTGCAGGGGCGCGTGCGAGCCCGAAACCTGCGCGTGCAGCCTGGCCGGCATTAAGTGCCAGGTAAATGGATCTGTGGTGAGCCTACTGTCATACACTATACTACTATACTCTATGCTACTATCACTATACTATCATATACTACGACTACTACTACTACTACTACTACTACTGCTGCTACTACTACTACTACTACTACTACTACTACTGCTACTGAATTAATGAATGAATGAATATTTTATTTAAGTGTCATACACATACAGTGTGTGCCCAGCCCTCATGGGCTTATATGACACTATCAACAAAAAGGAAGATATAGCCACACCTGTGGACAAAGATATTACTGTCTCTCTGGATATAAAGTCCTTTGTCTCAGTGTCCAGGCCTTTTCAACAAAGCTTGCCACTGCAAAAAATTCATTCTCAAATATCCAACACAGTCTATCACCATCAGAAAGCCAAAACAAATCAGGTTTTTTACATTGAATCTTTGTGAACGAGAATACCATTCTTAGGTCATTGTACAATAAAACAAAAAAAGAAATTCATCCTCCACTACTACTACCACTACACACTATACTAAACACCACTGTCATACACTATAGTACTATACACTATGCTACTGTCACTATACTATCATACACTACTACTGCTACTACTACTGCTACTGCTACTACTACTACTACTACTACTACTACTACACACTATACACTACACACTATACTATCATACACTATAGTATAGTGTATGATAGTATAGCTACTTTACTATCATACACTACTACTACTACTACTTCTACACACTATACTATCGTACCACTGTCATACGATATACTATTATACACTATTCTACTTATCTACTATTCTACTATACTTTCATGCACTATACTTCTTTATTTTTTACACAATACTATTACTGTTGAGGGTGTTCACTGATGACCTACAATGTCAGGGCAACAGCTGAAGCCGCTTATTGCCACTTTGTGAGAAGTGAATGAATTCTAAACTATAAAGGAACTTTAATACTGATAGTGAAACTGTAAACAATGTATACAGTTTCATTAAGTCTGTCTCTGTTTTTCAACAGTGTAAACAGTATAAACGATAGTGTACACATGTTGAATTATACTTAAGTATAATACTCTGATTATAATCTAAAATAACATCCCCATTGAAATTAGTGGATGGCACAACTGCACCTGTGTATGTTTACATACATTAGTTTACATAGAGGTTTCAGACAGGAGCAACACATTATTGATTAAAAAATTCAATATGTCTGACTTACTGTCATGATGCATCAAATAAACTTTGACCATGAGTCTGTATGTGTTTGGCTGACTATAATAATGTTCAATATGTTTGATTACTCTTAATTAAGAATAAATCTAGTGTGATAGAATCCTGGTATGTCTCAAATAGAACTGAAGTCAAAACCTCACTACAGCTATTGAAATATTAAAATGAGTATTGCTTCAAGAGATTCTGCTGTGTTCTACATTTTTAATTAAGTTTACAGCATTTCAAGTTGAAAATTACTTTGCGGCCCATGTGCGCAGGTGGACCGCATGTCGTTCCCCTGCGGCTGCACCAAAGACGGCTGCAGCAACAGCGCGGGTCGCCTGGAGTTCAACCCTGTGCGAGTGCGGACCCACTTTCTGCACACCATCATGAAGCTGGAGCTGGAGAAGAGCCGTGAGGAGCCGCTCCTGCACCTCCAGCACCCCCCTCCACCGCCGCCACCACCGCTGTCAGAACATCAGCAGCTTGTAACCAACGGCAACGGTTTCCATAGCGACCCCTCCTCCCTGGTCCAGACGCAGCAACAGCCGAACCTGCAGTTTCCTCTCATGATGCACCTCCAGAGCGACGCGGCAGACCCCTGTTTGGAAGAGGAGGAGGAGAGGGATGAAGAAGAAGAAGATGATGACGATGATGATGATGATGAAGAGGAGGAGGACGAAGCTTACGAGGAAGATGAGGATGGGAGTAGTGTTTGCAGTGGCCTTTCAGACTGTAGCACACACAGCTTAGACACCAATGACCCAGAGGACGCCGAGGACAGTGAGGAAGAGGAGGATGATGAAGGAGAGGAGGAGGACGAGGAGTGGGACTGTCCTTTACAAAGCACAAACGCACCTCCGTACCCAGTCCCTCTGCCATCTATACTCAGCTACTCCAACAGCACACTAGCAAGCCCCTCTTTCCATTACAGAGAAAACCAGGGGCAGTCTCTCCCCACAGTTGACACGGCTCTAAACTCGGACATGTCCAGCACACAGCACCAGGCCCCCCCCTGCTGTCTCCCCCCACAGTTGCTTCTCAACTCCCAAAGTCTCCCACCACGTGCACAGATGCGTGAGGAAGAGGCTGCCCCTAGTGGTGGACATTCTGCACTGCTCCCGAACAATCCAGACTGGTGTGACTCACAAACTGACAATGTGGCCAAGTAGCAGACAGCGGATGTAGAAGGAGAGACATTGAAAGAAATCAATCAAAACACAACTTAGAGTCCTGCAAATGTGATTTCAATAAGTGCACTTTCACATGGAGCTAACGGACCATGAGTGGCACAAAGAATTAGGCCTGTGTAATTTTAGACTTAGTTGATTTTACAACAAAAAAGAAATAACTTGATCAGTAACATTTGTTGTTATTCTGTATTACATATAGATAAATCGTTATTATTGTCTTGAAACGTATCATTTGCATGTTTTCTCAAGCCAGTTTTTATAAGTCCATAAGCTTCTGATGAATTTTCATTCAGTGCCACAATGTCTTACTGTTGCTAATAATTGTTTTAAAGGCGGTTTTTACAGCATGTTTTCAGTTTACAATTGGTTCACATGCAATATAGACTGAAAAGATATAAATACATATTAAGAAGTTACAGCCATGTATCTGCAAACTCCAAGATGGAAATTGTTTGGACATAAGGATTTCAGAATGTATTTTTTGTATTTGTATGAATGCCAAAGCATAAATCATTCAGCACCATGTTGTATTGTAGACCATGTAAAAAAGAAAATAAAACTCAAAAACCGAAAGCTTACAGCTATAGTGTTTCCCAAAACTGCCAACACATGGGGCCAATATAACATGCTTGCTTTAGAGGTCATTTGAAAATGAAATGTCTTTTATAAATTGGGTTTATTTGCTTTATGAATATAAGAATAATTTGTTATCTACAATTTAGCCAGCAGATGGCGCCAGTGAGCCATCAATGCGCTGTACTGTTATTGAAACGTGGTGCGTTTGGCTCTATGTAATTCTAGAATTATTGCTGTATCTATTCTCTGGATATGTTTGACTGGACAGTCTGTTCATGTCAGCTATAGCATTATGTTCATGGTCCATTTTCTAACTACATTACAAATAGCAGCAGCAGGTGCATGGTAGAACAAAAGAGCGTCATTGGTTGGACGTAGGTTCCATGGTTCACAAAAACTAAAAGGCCTAATGGTGCCTTTAGCTGCCTTAACAATAATAGATGGGTTTACAGGAGGCTATAGGCTGGATTTGATTAAGAACACAGGGCTGACACATGACCCCACCTTATCTTACATCACCTGCTCAGTTCTATGCAGTCTGTCGTTCAGTCCAGTTGGTTTGTTGATATTGGAGAAAAGCCTGCTAGCTTTTTTCTTGCACGAAAGGTGCATTATGGGAAAGTGAACTCAGAGGCTGCTGATCAATCACAGGCAGGGGAGCTGTGATGTTATGGTTGCTTAGCAACAGGAGGAAAGATGCAGGGCGGGATCTATGCGCGGAGGGGTAAGGAGGGTTGGTAGACTTGCTTTTCTCCTCGTGGCATGGTCATGGATCACCCAAAACAACATGCACGTTCTGCCCAAAAGGATCTACTGTATTGTCTGTATCTATAGAGCTGCAGAGTTAATGTGATGTTTGGCGACTCTTCACATGTAAAGTACGTACACAAAGGGTAGCACTTCATGAGATACAGACACAAAAGAACTTCTGTAGAGCTATGACAATCCTTCAAATCATTCCAGTTAATCAAATTATTTCAATAATGAACAGCTATATAGCTATAGTTTCAGTAATTGCATCGTTAACTGCTCTTTTTACATATGTTGCTGTGTGATGGGATTTTAAGACTCAGACGGAGCAGTAAATACAGCATGAAAGAATAAAACAAGAAATGCATAAATATCTCAAGTTAGTACTATCTATTAGAACATCCTCCAGAGATTTCACTTGAACTTCTGCGTCAATTTTACAAATCACACACCAGCATTCAAGACATTGAATTGACAGAATTGAGATACAATTTCTTGAATCATCAATTATCAGATAGTTGCAGTCCTTTAACATGCAGACTGGGGAATTGCAGTGGAATTGTCCAGGTGCACTGGACCCGGAATCTGGACCCGGAATCTGGCCCCAGTCTGACCCTAGCCCATTGTGTCCACAAGAAAACTGATTAAACTGATCCTCATAACCGCCACTTCTGACTCTATCCACACAATTAAAGCATTTAGCATGCCGCATAAGCTTCAAGACGTTTTATTTTGAAAATTTGGGATTTGTGTTTCTGTGCCACATCTTTGGTTTTAACAAAAACAAAACGCACTTGACACATTCAGCAAATTGATACATAGTTAAGTTTAACATTGAATGATCCTGTCATTTTTGGAGCAATCACACTTCTGGCCCACATCACAGATCGACGTCACTCACAGACAAATGAAAAACTGTAGCAAAGGTTGACGGAGAAAATAAACAAGCAATTACAAAAAATATGTCCTTTATTCTTTTGGCTTTAAAATGATATTACCATATGAGCGGACAGTAGTCACTTCTTGCATGCAGTTCACCAAAACACCACAAGCGCAATGAGAGATGGCTACTGGTTGCTTCATGGTTTGTATCTACAGATATGGGACCCATACATGTCTGGAAAGAATACCTAAAAAATTAAATTAAATAAAAAAATGTAAAGCAATATTGAATAAAAATTCACTTCTATCTACAGTAAAAATGTTATTTATAATTGGTAAGCAACCCACAGACCCCAGCTGAACACACATATTCTACTCAAGTTTCTACAAAGACACAAAAGGGACACGCTTCGTCCTCTCACTCACAGACATGGTTTTACACAGCAGTGGGAATCAAAAAGTGCTCTTACATCGACTGTAAGTGTGATGCATACTGTGGATCCAAATATCTAGATTATATATAGTACAAACAGAACCACTACATGAATCCAGACACCTCTCATTTGCAACAACATGGATGCCAAACATTTGTGATATTATATGCTTAAAATGTCTTTGTTATATATTGTCAGTATGAGTGTAATAGAAAGACTTCTCTGTATATTTCATTACAATATTTTCTTTACAAGAGCTCGGTATTGAAGGAGGAGAGGAGGACAGCAGCCATACTTGTTCCTCTATCAGTCAACTTGCATACATTCTCTGTACTATGAACTTTAACAGTAGGGAAATGGCCTCAAACAATCAGAAATGGCAAACCAGTGGTATTACAATCACTGGGATGCTACTGGTTTAGCCGTACATACTGTTTGAATTGGCAAAAAAATAAAAAATAAATCCAGTTTTTTCCCCTTGTCTTCAGCTTTGACATTCTGCCCCTGGTGGTTGAAAGCACATTCACACATAAACGATGCAAAGTATAAAACATTCTTTCTCATAAAAAAAGGTTGAACCCAAAAGTGAGTACGCGTTATAGTGGCTGTGAAATTCAAGACACTGGTTTTATAGTAGCAGCACTAGCTACAGACAACTTAACAGTACACTCAACTGTGTCAGAACAACAACCAATGGGAAAAACACAAGCATTTTGCAAAGGCTTTCACGTGTGTCTGGCAGTGCCTGCTGGGAAAATCCTACTTATATTTCGTCTTATGTCCACTTTAATTCAAAAAGAACCTCCTCTCTTGACGTGGCATTTCTTGCGCCATCATATACAAGCAAACACACATAATATCTACGCTCCCGAAGCTGTAAACAAAATCTTGTCAAGTCATGAATGCATTTTTGTTCACTTTGATTGTGTCTATTTCTTTCTGTTTTTCAAGTCTTTGCCCTTGTTTTCTTTTTCTCTGTTGTCCTCCTCGTATTTGTCCTTCTTGTCGGATTTTGTCACGCTGTTGTAGGAAGGTGGCGAGGCAGTGGAGGGGGTCATGTCTGTTTTTTCAGATGTTGAGTTTTCATTGAACTTGCTGATGACCATAACGTCCTTGTCTGGGTCGCGGATGCACTCCTTCAGCTGCTCCTTGTAGAGGGCCGATGCCTTCTTCATGGCCTGACGGATCAGGAAGCGGCGGAAGGCCCTCTGGATCACTATGGCTGATACTTCCTCCTGCTTGCGTCTCAGTGTCGTCGTGATGGGCTCGTATGAAACCTTCGAAGGGTTAGATGCCATGAAACGCTCCTCCATCTGACCTCGCAGCACGTCCATTTCCCCTCCTTCCCCTAACACGCGCTTGGTGAATGCAAACAGGATGTCTAAGCAGTGAATCCGCTCACCGCTGACCATAGGTAGGTCCATGGAGACGAGCGCGGCCATGTTGGGTTTGGGTATTCGCAAAGGAGGGTCTAGTGCATCTGCAAAGTTTGATAGTTTACAGTACTCCACGAACTGCGTGGCGTCAGGGTCAAAGCGTTCCCACACCTCGTAAAACATCTCAAAGTCATCCTCGCTCAGAGGCTCTGCGCTTTCTTCTGTGGCCACACTGAAGTTCTCCAGGATCACAGCTATGTACATGTTGACCACAATGAGGAAGCAAATGATGATGTAACTGACAAAGAAGAAGATGGCCACAGAAGGGTTTCCGCAGTTGCCTTTGTAAGAGTTCCCTGGGTGCTCCATCTGGCTGTCACAGTCCGGCTCCCTCTTATTCAGAATAGGAGCCAACAGTCCGTCCCAGCCGCCTGATGTGGTGATCTGAAATAAACAGATCATACTGTTCCCAAAGGTTTCAAAGTTAAACATGTCGTCTATCCCGTTCTCGCGCTTCACATAGGCAAAGTTTGACATGCCAAAGATGGCATAGATGAACATGACCAGAAAGAGCAGGAGGCCAATGTTGAACAAGGCAGGAAGTGACATCATCAAGGCAAACAGCAGCGTCCGGATGCCTTTGGCACCTTTGATAAGGCGGAGAATCCGACCAATTCTGGCCAGGCGGATTACTCGGAACAGTGTTGGCGAAACAAAGTACTTCTCAATAACTTCTGATAAAAACATTCCTGTGAAGACAGAAAGCATTGACATGAGGCGCAGTATCAGCTAAACTGTGTCATTAAATATGTTTACTTACCAACTATGGATAGGATCACGACAACAAAATCAAAAATATTCCATCCAATGGTGAAGTAGTAGTGGCGCAGTGAGATCATCTTGAGCGTGCACTCTCCGGTGAAGAGGACGATAAAGACCAGGTTTATCCAGTACAGAATGTTGTCCATGTCTTTGGTCTGGTCGTCGGTCTCCACCATCATGGTCACCATGTTCAGGCAGATTAAGATCATGATCACGATGTCAAAGGCCTGCTTTGTGATGCAGTCAAACACACAGCCCTGAAAGGCATTCTGGGAACACAGACACAACCCTATATCAGATGTGTAAAGATAAAGAATAGAAAAGACCAGATATAAAATATAAAAATCCTCTATTGAGTTCTACATCACTTCAGAAGTCGATAAATCATAAGGTAACATCTGTGCAGTAGTCAGCTGTCTTTGTCCAACAAGAAATGAAACAATTTAACTTTTTATAACGCTTATTGCATGGCTTATTGCATCTTTATACGTTTGCATAGAAGGACGACAGTGAAGCCTTCATTTAAAATGTCATTTCCATGAATGCTACCAGGTTCTTTTTTATTTGAAACGTACAGTATGTTTTGCTTGTACTAATATCAGTGCAGATATTTTAAACATTAGTCTTACTGTTGGCCGTGGGATTGGTTTCTGTGGTTTCTTTGAGCCCAGCTTCTTCATGGCATTGTAGTACTTCTTCTGTTCTTCTGTCATAAAGATGTCCTGACCTCCAAAGTGAAGGGAGCAGAACAGATTTGGTTACAATCAGCCACAATGCACGCATATTTGTGGTGATTCTTCTTCATGTAGATTTGTAAATTCATCTTTTTGAATGATATGTGCCGCGTTTAAGGATCGCTGCTCGTTCAGTCAGTGATGTGTCCCTAGGGAAGCACTGGTGTCACCATGAACCAGCAGCTGTGCACCATGTGGCTGCCGGCCTGGTGCAAGCGATAGCCCCCTCCCCCACTTGCTCTTCCTCTTCTTCCTCATCAGTCCTGGGTGTGTCCAATGCTGCAACTTTTTTTGTTTGTTTCTAGAGCATCAAGGCTGCGTAGGTGTGAGTGTGTGGGCCTGGGTCACACACTGACTCACCCTCTGTGTCACATCTACTCCCCAAATGTCACAGATATTTTACTACAATTATCTTCAAAGGTCTATAACGGTCTTTCCATACAGTTGATGATGCCTAAACTGTGCTTTTTATAATATTCAATACAATTCAGTGTATTCAAAGCAGCTATTTCAGAGGACTTTACAAAACCATTGGATTCCCCAAAGGAGATCAATGAATCAAACCGTTTTGTCTGTTTATAATATCACATGTAAAGCAACTTATCTTCTTCTTTTGTTGGTTGAAGTTGTCGATAATGACACCGATGAAGAGGTTGAGGGTGAAGAAGGAGCCAAAGATGATGAAGATGACGAAGTAGAGGTACATGTACAAATTGACTTCGTATTCCGGCTGGTCTCCGATCTGGAAGATAATAAAAGTATCAGCAAAAATGAGATTATTGTTGTGATAAAGAGAAATAAGACAGAAAGTACTTACGCCTCTGGAGTCCACAGCTGCGTACATGATGTCCATCCAACCTTTGAAAGTGGCCTGAGAGCACAGGACAAGTCAGAGTCTCTATTTTAGGATTTATTATTTGGTTTCAACACATTTTAAGAAACACACTAAAAACTACCAACTTTTTATGCACAATGTAGGAGAAGTTGAATGACCTTTTTACCAAACCATCAGGAGAAAAGAGATTGTGGATTTTCAGGTTCTGTTCCAAATCTAAAATTCTTTTGGGTTTGACGATGTATCTGTCTAATCTAATCTAATCTTGTGACCCTGACTGCGGAATAACAGTAAGTAGTAATCATTGGAAGTGTCAAATGAAGTGTTGTTGATGTGAGTCAATGTGGACTGTGCTAAAAAATAATAATAATGGATTTTTAGATAAATATTGATATTTTCAAATGAGATACAATATTGTTTTTATAACTTGTCGTATATTTATTTTATTTAATGGTTTTAAAATATGATTTTATTTTTTTGACTTTTGACAGTTAATCTTAATACATTAAATATCTTAAATATTCTCGAGATCACAGCCCTCGATGAAATACAATGAAGAGTTTGAAATCATCTCAATCTCCCCATGTTGAGAACCGCTGATCTAATCAAATGCATTTTTATCATGAAAACCTTTCTATAATTCTACATAATGATTTGTAAGAGTAGCACACAGGTCAACTTTTTGAGAAGAGAGGGGAATTTTTGCACCAATGTTCATTGAAACAAAGCATTCAGCATTTTACTTTGGACCAGAGCCTAGAAAATGGTACTCTACCTCTGCTGCTGTGACTTGAAGTGCGGTCGCATTGTATAATTACTTTAGCTTTTCAGAATTATCAATGTATCTGTTTTGTTTGTGTGGAGGGGTGTGTTTTTGCTGCTACTGGACAAAAAATTATCTATCTATCTATCTCAACATACATTTCATCCATCCATCTTCTTCCACTTTATCCATTGCCAGGTCAGCCATACATCCATTTGAACTGTGCACCACAATGATCAATGACACCCTTTTTAAGTGGCTTTAAACTCACCACTTGCAGCAACGCCAAGTAACCCGCGCCAACGTTGTCAAAGTTGATCTTGACGTTCTTCCAGCGTGCGCTTTCGTTGACCAGGGCCAGGCACTCGGACATGTTGTTGACGTCGCTGCTGGAGAAGACTTCATCTGTGGTGGTGTTGACGCAGTAGAAGTACTTCCCGGCGAACAGGTTCACCCCCATGATGCTGAAGATGAGCCAAAAGATGAGGCAGACCAGCAGCACGTTCATAATGGAGGGTATGGCTCCGAGCAAAGCGTTCACCACCACCTGCGGATCCACAAGAATCTATAAGCTCCATACGTTACCAAAATAGCAACCTGGGAAAGTGGCCAGCGCAATCATCTAATCAGGCAACTTTACTTAAGAAGGAAAACTGCACAGTGGATATGATTGACTCACTGACTATAAATAATACACAGTTTGATATAGATAACTTGAGTATAAAGACAGTTAGAAAGACAGTGTGTAGCTGAGGATATTAATGCGATAAGCAGAACGTAAATAAAACCTTGTAGAGGCGAGATGGAGTCACATTTGTTTGACTGTGAATGGAAAAAAGAGACACAAAAGAACAGAAAGAATACCGGTCAAAGCCACGTCACAGGCAACAGCAGAAAGCAATGTCAGAAACAGCCATGTATAAGAATTGCAAGTATCCAATGAGGCAATGTGAAGCGTCATGCAGAGAGAAGACAGAAGTGCTGAGGAGAAAGAAAGTCTGTGGAAGCAAAGATGGACATGCATTAATCATCATCAAGATCCTGCTAACATTAACACAAGTCTAATTTATCATTCAGAAGGAAAAAAACTGGATTGGACTGGACTGAGTAGAGAGACCATTGTCAAAGCAAATAACAAGTGTAAAGTCACTAACTGAAGGTGATAAATCTCCAATAGCCGTATCATTCTGAACTACTCAAAACAACAGCACACGTGAAAGATGATTACTTTGTCTCCTTAACCTTACCCTCATGCCTTCAAACCGAGACAGGGCCCTCAGGGGCCTCAGCGCTCGCAGGGTCCGCAGAGACTTGATGGCGGTCAGCTCAGAGTAGCCCAGAGCATTGGCCACCAGACTGACCAGAGACACCTGAGAGGAAAGGCCACATGGGAAAGCAAATATGTACGTCAGAATCATAATGTGTCTATGATGCTTTTGTCAAGTAATTTCATCTGATTTAATAAAGTTGGTCACATTAACTCCAAAACTGAGTTTGAGATAAATTTGAAAGAGAAAGTGTTTTCTGGAGGTGGATAATTTTGAGTAAATGAATAATTCCATAGAAATGGTGAAAACGCTACGGGACATGGAGCTATCGTCGATATCACGGTAATCATGATTTTATTTTCTCACCATAACTAATGATTGAAACTGACAAAAAATGGAACAATAAAATGCAACCTAACATTAAAAAGACTGGTACTGTTTATGCTTTAGTCATAATCTAGTCATAATCTAGTCAATCATCAGCAATCATTCTGTTGTGATTCAGTGCTTTGTTTAATGAAGAGCTCTGAAAAAACTAAAAGGCTTTACTCCTCCCACTGATCAGCCTCCTCATGATCTAGGGAGAAATGTTTTATATCAATAGCTGTGAATAGTCGAACAGTCGAGTCGAGCATTGAGACAAGACAACATTTAAGTCCTGCTCTTGAGCTCTATACACATTATGGGTTTAACTGCACTGCAAAAAATATATGAAATATCAGGTAATAACTGAGTGGCTTTCAAAATGTGCTCAAATCAAGATACACTTTGCTAAATGTATACATTTTTGACTTGATTTTTAAGGCTTTCTGCAGTGTGTGCCTTGATAAGAAGGTTGAATTCAAACTCACATCTACAATGAGGAAGTCGAGCCAACACCAGGCATTGGTGAAGTACTTGACAAAACCATATGCCACCCACTTCAAGAGCATTTCCAAGATAAAGATGTAGGTGAACACTTTGTCTGCGTACTCCAGCACCGTTTTAATGTTCTTCCTCTGCTCGATGTAAATGTCTTCAAAGGCCTGAGCAGAATGTAAACACAGAAAGTAAAATAATGCTTCATGTAACTATCCGCGTCAGGGATAGAGGCGGAAGGACAGCGGCCAACGTGAACACAGGCAGAAACGCTCACCAAGGCCCCACTACTGAGCAGGATCATGAATATGATGAAGGACTCAAACCAGTTGTGCTCCACGATGATGAAGCAGGTTTTACGCAGGTTCCACCAGCTCTTGAACTTAACCCCGTCTTCATCGATCTGGCAGCACTGGAACCGGCTCACACAGCCTGAGGGAAACAGGGGCGAGACATGGATTTTAGATTTCACGGTACAAAAGTGTGATTGTCTCTGCCGTTTAAGTAAAAACCTCATGATGGCGCTAACGTCCAGCTCCAGTGTTTGAATACTAGAGGTAAATGGCTGAAGTTTATTTACTGTGGAACGACTAAAGAATATCTCAACCTTAACTTTAAATAGCTGACTATCACTGAGAATGTGGAGCAGACAAATGATGTGTTGCATACATCGTACATAGTGTTTGCTCAGAAACAGAAAGAGTTTTGTTTGTAAAACTGTGTGAACAAATTTGACTTTGTAGTTCATTTTATAATCTATAAATTATATAATCTTCAATATTTGTTATTTTTTTTTGTACCTATTATCCTAAATAATAGATCTTGTTTGACATGTGCAAGTGGAGTGCTCCTATTTGTGTTGTAATGTGCGCAATGCTGACGCTGAAACCCACTGAGGAACGAATAATGGTTTATCATCTTACCTTATCTTATCTTCTATCTGTGAATGTCTGATTCCATAACACGCAACATAATATTCTGGATTCTTATGGTTCATATTCTGTACTGATATTAGATTTTCATATGATGTCACTTCCTCTCACCCTCAGTGAAGCATGCCTCTGGGTCGAGGGACTCTTCTGGCTCGAGCTCGATTGAATCCACTCCGTCACCTCCAGGAGGCCGGATGTCCACAGTGCTCCCCTCTGAGGAGCTCAGGTGCGGGGGCTCCACATCTAGTTTCTGCTCCAGGAAAGGACACGATACAAGTCATATAAACTGGGTGAGAGCATGAAAGACATAGGAGCCAACCTTCTGAGCTGTACCACTGTAATCTCCACACATAAATCTACATTATATGGTGTTTTGTTTATGAAATATACTGGGCACTGTTGTAGCTCACAGAGTTGGGCTCTTTAAAGTCATCATCATCACATGCAGCATCTGTCAAATGTACCTACAGGCATACATGTTTTGGCCTTATCTGTGATCTCTTTGGAATATGGTTAGTGCACTGTAGGTATATTTGACGTGGCCTCTGTCCGAGGTCGAGTGCATGCAGTATTCAGTGCATTATCAATTCAAGCCTGAAATAGTTCAAACAGAACATGTGCTCACGTATTTTCATGTCCACTGGTGAATGACCCTTCAAAAGTTACCAACTTATTAATCATTACTCATTTCTCAAATGATACTACAAAAAGTCCGTCCTTCCAAAGAACTTTCATCTGGCCCATTTTCCTCAGTGACATGAAAACACTCATTTTTCATTCCTTTAAAGCAGTGTACAAGCTTCTTCAGTTTGAGTTGAGGTAGACGGAGAACCACATTAGCTTACCAGCAAACACCAGTACTGTGCACTGTTTAAAAGACAGCATGTGGTCTGACCAGTCTGATCCCATGGCGTAAAGCACTTAAGTGTACTGAGAAAACACAGGGCTTCTCGTGCTACATATGGTGTCCACCTGGAGCAACATGAAGCTGGACTTTCAGCTGCTCATTTGTCCCCCTCCTGAGGTTGAACTCAATTTGACCCTAACAACAACTACATGCAGTAAATGTGCATTTACATCCACTGCACAGAAAGGAGGCTTTGCTTCTTGGCTGTAGGCTTTCTGTTTTGATGAGCACATAAGGACTCTTGGGCACAAGTGTACAAAAGGGGACATGTCATCCTAGACAGTGCAGCAGCCCTGATTGCCGTGGGACCCAGCTAATACGGCATGGGAATGATGGAAGCATGCTGCTCAAGTGATTGTTTTCCTTCCTTTGGCTTGACCTCCAGCACCAAAACACCCCAACTGTAGAGTTTGAGAAGATCATTTATACCATATAATTTCACCATGCCAATTGGGTTGGCACAGATACTTGCAGTGGAACGAAAGTTGACAACACAGGCAAGAAAGCAAATTCATGTTTCCACACTTTGTTTGTAGAATATTGTATATTTTGGTTACAACTAAATAATGTCAAATATTGTATTGTTTTCATACATTTCCCATTTAGATTATGCCATGTGTCATCTATTTTGCCAATCCACAATATCTTAAGCTAAATAAAATATAACCATTCTGAAATACAATAAATCAATCAATCTTTCATCATTCCACTATAGTTTTCAGAGAAATCATAAACAAGCATTTAATGTACGCAGATGCATGGACTATGATCCAACAAATGAATTTGAAAAACAACTAAAGCAAAATTCATTGCTCCATTGTTTCCTCGCTCTCCTCCAACTGTCGTCCTTCATTCTCAAGCTCAGGGTTTCGGTTGCCAATCAAGTCTTATAAAACAAGCAATGGTGTCGAAAGCAAAGAACATGTTAGATGAGATCATCTGGGGATGGACAATGTGGTGGTGTAGCTCATTCCTAATGGCTGCTAACTGCGATGCAGCCTGATGCTCAGAGATAAGTATGAGAGGGGAGGGAAGATTACAGCGCTGTGTGCATCTGTCTCAGGGAGAGGGGGAGAGAGCAGAAGAGGTTGGGCGCAGGACCAGGCAAAAATAAAAATGGGCAATCCATTGACATTATGAGAAAAACATGTTGTTTATCTGTAATGACATAGGCAGTCCTCATGGTTAGTGCTATGGTACAATAAAGTGGTCTTACAATTCTCCTGTCATTGAAAACCTTGAGAGCGTCTGTAACACAGCTGCAATAACAAACGGGGGTTAAACAAAGTACGTTAACACCAGAAGCCAGAAGTCTCCTCGCAATCATCAGCCACACGGCAATAGGAAGAAATGTCACAAACACATTGTCATTGCAGTAGATAGAACTATATATAAATACTTCAGCTGATATCAAGTAGAAAAGTCAAACGCCTCAATAGAGGGTGTGAAGATTACTATGAGTGTCCTTATCTACTGTAAAGAGCATACGGCGCCAGGGCTGTGAATAGTCCTGAGGGTTGTTTTGAAACGAGGGAATTGGCACCACACCCAGTGGCAGGTTGACATCACCAGGGAACACAGTCCTTGTGCTCTGTCAGCCTGGCAACACTTAGCACGCAGCTAGTCATAAAGCAATGGCATACAATTTATGTTCGTCTGTTTATAAAGACAGATCTCTCTGTAACGGAGTGTCTTGTTCAAAGCTCCCAAAATACTATTTTACTTACTCCACTAAAAAACCATATCTTACCTCTTTGCTGCCCTCCGTGTCTGAGGAGTCACTGCTGAAATCCTCTGTGTTGAGGTTCTCAAAGTCAGACTCTCCCACTGCTATGGGCACAGTGACAGTGAGAGTAGGGTTGTGGATGAAGGACATGTAGTCACACTCCTCAATAGGAAATTTCCCAGTGTCCATGCTGACAGCCACCACCAGCCCCCCAGGCCGCCCATTGCCCTCTGTGATGTACACCCCACTTGGGTCTTTGGTAATCTCCACTAACGTGTGGTTGGAGATGCAGTTTCCTTTGCCATTGCTGTGTAATTCATCCAGGGGTTTGCTCTCCTCCGCCAGAGCACACGCTTTCCCACTTCCACCGAAGAACACGCTCCTGAAGAAACGTCGGACTGAAGATTTGACGAAGGTGATGCCTCGCTGGATCCGACCCACTGCGATCTGCAAGTTGTTCATTTCACTGTCGTCATCTGTTGCTGCCAAGTTGTCAGCGCTGAAGGAGCTCAGGAGCAGAGCCAAGAACAAGTTTAGAACCTGGAGAAAACACAACAGGTGCTGTTAGGCCAAATAATATATGTTTTACTATTTATTATAGTTGTTTCAATTCTAAATACATTTAGAATAATTTAATTGTATAGCATAATTTAATCCAACCAAATCTCAGAAGAAAACCTATATCTAGGCGATCAAACCACGGAAGAATCCCAGTTTTTGAAAAATAGAAAAATGGAGTAACCGAGGTATTATAGCATTAGAGGATCATAAGAATTGAATAATAAAGGTGTCTGAGTTCTTCATTTCCAAAACAATGCTCTTCACAATTATTTTGTCGTAGAATCTCCATAGTGATTCAATTCATTCAGACTATTTGAGATCCTTAGAACGGGGAAAATCAATATTGTTTTACGTATGTGTGAATATTATTGTATATAAAAAAATCAAAAATCAAAATAAAACAATCAAAATCCAAGTTTGACATTTTAGCATCATGACACCGGAGTCAAGTAGGAGCTTATTCCTAACGCAACATCCACAAAGGACAGAACAGGGACGGTCCATACCACCAGGTTTCCAATGACCATGACCATCATAAAGACAATGAGGCACATGCTCTGGCCGGCCACCTCCATGCAGTCCCACATGGTCTCGATCCACTCCCCACACAGCACGCGGAACACGATGAGGAAGGAGTGGAAGAAGTCGTGCATGTGCCAGCGCGGCAGCTCGCAGTCGTCGGCGATCTTGCACACACACTCCTTGTAGCTCTTGCCGAAAAGTTGCATCCCGACCACGGCGAAGATGAAGACGATGATGGCCAGGACCAGAGTGAGGTTCCCCAGGGCCCCCACTGAGTTCCCGATGATCTTAATCAGCATGTTTAAAGTGGGCCAGGACTTCGCCAGTTTGAAGACTCTCAGCTGGAATGAGAACGATTAATGAGCTGGATAATCAATATTCTATCTTAAAGCTGGGGTACTTAATTCTAACTATGTCCATATACATTTAAACAGATTGCGGCCAGATTTTTTCAGACAGTTTGACAAACATGACTCTTGGTTGTTGGTGTAAACAAAATGTATTATGCAGGAAACATTACAATCAAGTGCATAATTTGTCTGCTCGGCATTCTCAGTGACAGTAAACTATTTAAGATTAAGATTTTTTCGCCCCACTGTGAGAACATTTCAACCACAATTTCTCAAAGATGGAAAGCCATAACCATATATCAGCACGTGTATATTTCTACATTCATAGACTGGGCATGTGGTTAGAACTTTTATCCATATCAATACCTCAAAATGCAAGTACGATCTGCTTCTGATGCTATTTTACTGAGATGTAAAACCAGTAAAAAATGATTACCAGTCGAAATGACCTGAGCACGGACAGGCCTTCCACGTTCGCCAAACCGAGCTCCATCAAGCTCAAGCTAACAATGATGCCGTCAAATATGTTCCAACCCTCCTGGAAGTAATAGTAGGGATCCAATGCAATGATTTTGAAGCACATTTCGGCGGTAAAAATCCCGGTAAACACCTGGAAAAACAAGACGCATAAAGTGGTTGTGTGATTTGGCATAGGATCATTTATAACCTTTAGTAAGAGTACTTGCCAGATTCCCCACACTAAGGACATTATCAAACTCTTTAGTCATAGGGTAATGCTCCATCGCCATGAAGAGGGTGTTGAGGACAATGCAAATGGTGATGGCCAAGTCCACAAATGGATCCATAACCACCAAACTGACTATCTCCTTAACTTTTAGCCAGGCAGGATTACAGTCCCAGATCAGACAAGTGTTGGCAAATCTGTACCAGCAAGGAGGGCACTTCTGTCTGGATTCTTCAAGCTCTGAAACAAAACATATCAGTGGACAGTCCGTTAATGATTGTGTTTTGTCGTTCACATCAGATACACAGAGTCACATGCATTTCAGACCTTCCATAGTGTTGGTGAGGATGCTGGCCACGCTCATGGCTCGCGGCCTGCCTCCCGGTTCGTCTAAATAATCCATGGACGGCTGGTGGAAAGATCGACGCTTCTTCAGGTCAGTGTCAGTGGTTGTGCCCTAAAATAACCAAAAAATTGGGTTATTGTGACTGGCTAAGTTCTAACACTCGCTTATTTGTCCAGGAGTAAAGTAAAAACATATTGGCAGGGCAAGTTTATGTATGTAGAGCACAGTTTATACACAAGGCAACTCAAAATGCTTGAAGAAATAGATAGCGGAATCTGCGGAATCTGACTTTCAACAGTCAAAAGATGGAACAATGTCATGTGAAATCTATCAAACCAGTCTCAAAGAGCTTTGGTTCTATCTCTCTTACATGACTGCAGGTCATGTAAGAGAGAACGCCGCTCACTCAGCCAATCATCTCTCAGCTCAAAATGTCAAATGGTGACGTACATTCTTTAAAGTGAGGAACACATAACATATTTTATAATCTGATTGAGGCACCATGGCGACGCTTGATTTATTGTTAGACGTTTTCTGTTGGGACAAGTATAGAATTATTACCTAACAACTTAATTCCCAAAATAGATCAAGATTAAGACATCCTTTATTCGTCCAACTGTGGGGTAATTTCAGTGTTGCATCACCAGTTACAGAACTAGTATTATCTGGGCCCGAGCCCGCCCCTGGCCCGAAGGGGTGGCGCCCCAGCCCGGACCAGCCCGACATGGTTTCTGAATCCTCAGGCCCAAACCCGTATCAAGCCTAACTTTTTTTTTTTTTTACCTCCCATAACAATGTTTTAGGGTATTAAATAGTGCCGCGCACTGATATGAACACAGGTATGATATCATACACAGTATGATACACAGCTGTATGATACACAGATGTATGATACACAGCTGTATGATACACAGATGTATGATACACAGCTGTATGATACACAGATGTATGATACACAGCTGTATGATACACAGCTGTATGATACAAACAACAAACACTACAGCTTAATAGAACACTATATTCAGTGGGTGCGTTCGTAAATGTAATCTGCCGCTCTGAAAATTAATAAGTTTCCGAGCCCGGCCCGTGTCCGACGTATTTATACGGTCATCGGCCCGAAGTGCAGGGCTCTACATAGAACAGTGGGAATGAACAGCACACAACACAAGATAAATGAACAATAATTCTATACTTAAAATAAAATAGTGGTATTACTCATGAACAAAAAAAATGGCATTACTTATGAATACAAAAATAGTTGTATTTTTTATGAAAAATAGTTAGGTTCCCCAGCTTTAATCGTCACATAAAGTAAACAATGAACTGAGCAGCACTTGATAAAAATGGGTCAACAAAAAAATGAAAGTGACGAGTCACCTCAGGCAGCAGCAGACCTACAGGGGAGGTAGTGACAGAAGTCCCGCCCACCAGAGACACCACTCCGTTGCAGTCCACGGCGCAGTGCATCTTGCCGTTGGCGGGCAGCAGGATACGGGGCGCCCCCAGGCTGGTCTGGCTGATGGCACTGCAGCGCCGCTCCAGCCGCCGCGGCAGGAACAGTGAGCCGCGCCGGCTGTCGCTCTCCTCAAACGTGCTGTGTTCGTCGTCCGCAAAGTCGTTCTCCGAGCCCATGTCCCGAGCCCGACCACGGAAACTGAACAGGCTGGCTCTGCTGTTCCTCCGCGGCGAGAAGAGGGAGCCGCGGATGCTGAGGAGAGACTGAGGAGCACAAACTTCAATATCCACTTTATTTACATAGCACATTTTTAAAACAGGTTTCCAATAAATTAAAGGTACAAGAATGTGGCACAAGTGTTTCAAGCATTCACTTTTAATTATTGCTAGTATTTTTATATTAACCCTTTAGGCGCTGGCCGTTTGTGAAATCATGAAACTTCATAATAATAATTATTTATATATATATATATTTAAAGTTCCACTTTATGCCACTTTAGTTTTTGAAGCGAAACTAGAGGGAGTTTACCTGGTTGGGTGAAGAGCATCTTTTCTCATAGGAAAGTCTGTTGGCGTCTATGGAGAAGCGGAAGCTGGACCTCTTGATGCTGTCCTCAGACTCAGACTTGTGGAACTTGTCGCGGACGCCTCTCTCCTCCTCTTCCTCTTTCTGTTTTCTCTTCTTGCGCCGGTTGCGTCGCTCTTTGGCGCTTTTGGAGCTGAGCTTTGAGGTCCCGGAGGACGACTCCGACGTGGGGCCTCCTCTCCTGGGGTACTCACCACTCTCGGTGGCTGCTGCCGCGGCAACCTGCCAGCCAATAGGAGCACAAACACAGTTGTCATGGTAACCGTGCCTATCTCGAAGGTTCTTGTAGACGAGAGAAGCGCAGCCAAAACAGCCTGAGAAACCACATTATTTCTGTTTTCTGTAAACTTTCAATGACTCAATTGCTCCATATTCAAAACTCTGTTAAAACACAGGACCAGATATTTTTTAACATTTCATTCATGTCCTAATTAATAGCCACATAATTCATACTTATATATTCTAATAACATTTCCAATAGCATTCATTTGCATTCTTTCCATTGCTTTGGGAGAAGATAAGTACACAAAACTGTAGGCGTCTCAGCTATCATTTTATGAATCCTGACAACTACAGCCAAAGCTGCATTACCAATCTGTGCAGCGGCCTGCAAAGCCCAGCGAGTGTGGGAAGAAAAGCAGTCATGGAAGAGGTTGCAAGAACACAGGCATCATGGCCATAATGAGAACACAATACATTCTGCCCTTTCACAAATGAGGCTAAAATGAAGGAAATCCGTCATTTGATTTGGAATGAAGACAATGACAAATACCTGGTCATAGAATGTAATTATCATCTAAAGGTTAAACTAAACTATCCAAAAACCCAATATCATCAGAATATCAGAAAATAATAAGAAAGTAGCAAATGCTCTTGTAGTGGTAAGTGTTAACTATATCACCGCATTTATTTTCTTTAAAGAATTGCGATTTGTATTGAGTGCATTTGTCAGGTTGTAAAGCCATAAACATGAGGCGTTTGCTCTTTTAGTTACTGACATTGGTGGCAAAATTCACACCTCTGAGAATGTTATGGCCCTGTAAATGCCTCTGTGCCTTTAGAAAATCACAGCTGAAAATATGTTTGTCCATCGCTCCCTTTGTAACCAAGGCTAATTTTCTCCTGGAAGGTCACATCAGGACTTTTGGCCCCCGAGGAAAGACTGAGAGGTGTCAGTCGCCCCGGACAGTATTTCCTCTGTTGCCATGGGTTACGCCGAGTTATGGCAGCTGCTGAGATGAAGACACTTTCTATATTTGTCTTGAATGAGCTTCTTCCTGCCTCTCTGGTAAATGCTTCGTTATAAGCTGTTAGCAAGACCCTCACTAACCCTGAGTGATATCACATAAAACTTTAGAGTGACATGGATTGTATAACGACTAGGAATTCCATTTGAATAGTTAATGTGCAAAAATAGATGTATTTTAGTTCCATACAGGAAACAATTGACCCCCTCTGGAGCAAATCCTCTCAAATGCATTGTCAGTAACAAACCGTTTTGAAGATTGAAGCTTGAGTGTTTTGACAAATTTTAAAATCTCAGTATTTTATTGAGGTTTGAAAGTTAGGCGCCCCAGCTTTACCTGCGCTCTAACACAGACCTTCCTAAGTCACTAAAAATTCTAAATTGTTTTTGCACCGCACTAAATCTATAATAATGGGCCCGGGGTGTCACAGCAGTACATGGCCGTCAGAAGCATATGTTGATTAAGGTTCAATTCAATTACATTTATGGTCATATAGCCCTAAATCACCGCAATTGTTTTCTCAGAGGACTTTGCAAAACCGTCATATTCACAGTGAGGTTTGTGGAGAAAGAGAGGGCGTTGTTTAAACACATCTCTGTCCCACTTCCTTCCCCTTCTGAGTGGACTGAACACAAACACACCTGATTGGTCCGAGTTCAAGTATGTGAGAGTCTGTGTATGAATGGCTTTATGGGATGTTATTTTTAACAGATGGCTAACTGGTCATCCGCATGCATTAATCATCCAATATGTTAAACGTTTGAACTTAAAGCAGGGGTAACTATCTGTCAAACCATAAAATATAATAAGAAAAAAATCCATCTAACTTGGTCCTCACTCTCAAAACATTTGGATTCCATCTTTTCACATGCAGGTATTTTTTGGCGTGCGTCACATTGCAATCAGCTTTTTCAGAGAAGGGGGAAAGAAAGGACCCCTGACGCAGCCAATCAGCTCTGCACTGCAAAAAGTGATGAATAAAAAGTCAAAAATGGCTCAAATTAAGAAAAACCCACTTGATTATCACCTTATATGTTTATGTACTTTCCTACTTTCTTTTGGAACCTACAATAACATCTGACTTATGGTAAAGAACGACATGCAGACGCCCTTGCCTGTGCCTCCTCCTGTTGTCTCTTGAGCTGTTCCAACATGGCCTGAAACTCCTCTTCCTTCTGCTGAGCCTCTTCTATCGTTGCCTGGTTTTGCTCATCATATGCCATCGCCACCACGGCCAGGATCAAGTTCACCAGGTAGAAGGAGCCCAGAAAGATGACCAGGACAAAAAAGAGCATGTAAGGTTTCCCTGCAGCACGCAAAGTCTGCCACAGAAAGAAAAACATGTATATTAGAACGTTGGCAGACATAATATTGTTCTTTGTTCTCGTTATGTATTGACTCGGCTATGGTCAAGTGCAACTAGAACAAAGCATACAAAGCCTACTGGTACAACAAGCCCAGTGATGTAATACTGAATGTTTGCACTGCCATTGTAGGAATATTGCTTTTATGTTTGCACACAGGCCGTTTATTTTGAAATGTGTTGACTGAAAAGATTAAGTAGTACATTAGAGGTGATTCATAACAGCGCTAATGTGTTCAACATACTTGCTGGTAGAGATTTTCCCAGTAATCCTGCGTCATGAGTCGAAACAGGGAGAGGAAGGCCCAGCTGAAGGTGTCAAAACTGGTGTAGCCATAGTTGGGGTTACGTCCCGCCTTGACACAGGAGAAGCCCTCCGGACAAAGCCTAAGAAACAACAAAATTACAATTCTGCTGCTGAACTATATGTCTATCTATCTGTCTATATCTAAAAGAGATTACTTACTACTGTCATTATTATAATTATTATTATTATTACACATGGACATTTAGGATCTATGCAGCTCACAGTAAACAGTCTTACTGAGGTCTGTACAGAGAAATATCAGACCTTGGTCTTTTTGTACAGACCTCGCCATGGCTCGGTCTGGACAAAAAGGCCGCAGTCTGATATTTCTCTGCACAGACCGAGCAAGTGAGGTTAATAAATGTTTTATTATATGACTATTTTTAATTTGTGCAAATATCGATCAGTTTCACCTAGCAAAAACACATGCAACCAATGGTGACATGGAGAACTTATCAGATGACTGAGGCGCCCGCTGTAAGTTCTCAGTCTGTGTCTTTACCAATGCTTTTAGATATTTGTGAAGTATGTTCATGTCCCACTTGGTTTTCCTAATCCTGTTTTTACCTTTCTGGTCTGTAACGAAGTTGTCAATCTCTTCTTGACTGTTGGGAGTTGTGTTTTTGTCGTTATTTGCTGTTATTACTTCCTCTGGCTCTTCCAACTCGTCCTGATAATAGAATTCACTGAGAATGCTCCCAGTCGCTCATTATTTATTTTTTACCGAGAAAAGATATCAAATCTGATACGCGCTGCGGACCAATCGTCATGGTAACGGTCCGACATGGGAAAATATCAGACCGCATAATCAGCCAATCAGAGCGTACGATCCAAGTCATAGAATAAAACTGTTTATGCCTTTTTAAACAACACTTTTAATATGAGTTTTAAGCCCTACACCTTTAAGCTGCACTGTTTTAATATCTTTTTATATAAATGTATCCGTTAAGCCTTTTTGATATCTTTAATAAGCATTTACATCTGTTTTTATTTTGCTTGTGAAGCCATCTGAATTGTCTGATACACTATTTGTGCTATATAAATACATGTTGATTGAACAGCCATAATTAATCTGCATCCCCCTTGTGGTTTGTCCTTTTACCGTCAATAAAAAGGTCACGTTCTTACCCAGCACCACTGCCGTTCCCACAGAGCAGAGCGTCCCTGTGCCCTGGGAGGTAATAGTAGTTTCCTTTAGAGGAGAACACAAAAAAAGATTAACAATTAGCAATAAAAGTTTCATATACAAACAATTACTATTATTATTGCCTGTCTGTTTGTTTGTATATTTCAATATTTCTAACATATTGATAGAGAATTGTTTTTTGCTTCCTCATAAATACGTTTATATATATAGATGTTATTAAAATGCGACAGTCTGTTCATTTCTTTTTGTTTTTCTCCCTACACTTGTGGCCTTGCTTTGTCATGGAGCCTTGGTTTCATGCTGGTGCCAGTGACTCACCCTCTCTAGGCTTCTCATGCCCCACAGATGGTCCACTAGACACTGACGGTGGAGCAGTGACGAGGGGAGTCCAGACTTTGCTGCTGCTGCTGATTTTTTGCCACATTTGCAGCATTTTGCCTGTGGCCCCTGGGCTCCAGAGTCTACGCTGTCACAGTAGATCACGGATGTTTGACCCTCAACCACCAACACTAACATCTCAACGCAACTCAAGAAGAAACCGACCAGTGTATGACTCCGGCCGCTGGGCAGATACTATTAACTGTTGGCTGACCTATCTATTCATATATTGTAAATGCTGTATTATAAAACAACATATTTCTCATGACGATAATGTGTCCTTTGTCAATGGTGTAACAACACTGGGGTTGTACCATCACAGTTCATAGTGATATAGTAAAGTTGTACGTATGCAGAAGTTCTGGTGTTGCACTGGTGTCTTACGTTCGTCGTTCATGTACTCGGTCCAGTTGAAAGGCTCGGTCACATTCAGGACAAAGGTGGTGTTGAGGTCCAGCAGGCTGCTGTTGGAGAGCATCATGTCGTCCATGGTGGTGTTGGTGCTGTTGGTTGTGTTACTAAGTATTGGCATGCGGACACATTTCTGCCGCAGGTTTCCCATGAAGAGCTGTAGGCCGATGAGGGCAAAGACACTGAGGCAGAAGACCGTCAGGATCATCACATCCGATAGTTTCTTTACTGACTGGATCAGGGCTCCCACAATGGTCTTTAGGCCTACGTGAACAACAGGGCCATGAAGGGGAGAGTGGGACATCACACAATGATTACTGTCTGATAATTATAGCCACAAGAGAAACAGCAGCTAATGGGAGCTTGTGTTGCAAGCAGTGACTCTGCTCTGGAGATTCCTCTCTGAACAGTTTGCTTCCATAGTGGAAACTCAGAGCTCCTGATCACTGCTTTTCAAGCATAAGCCATCAGAGAAAGATGCCATTGACCATTGGTATTCAATGGTATAGTTCATAGTGAAATGTCCCTAGTGAGATGTGTGTACGAGGGTGTTTTCATGTTATTGCAAACTTGTCTCAAGGGGTCTCTGCCCAGGCTGGGATTCTGCCAGTGTTTATTTTGCTCCAAATCCATCTAATTCTTATAAAGGTAGAATTTAAATTTGATTTCATTTCTACAATCAGTAACAGACAGAAGATGGCTAAAAGTGCAACTAGGACTGTTTGCAATAGCCAAAAAAAAGTAATGCTACTATAACTTTGGAAGTAATTCCAGCGTGCATCTCGACTTGAATGATAAATACATCTCGACTTGAATGATAAATACATCTAGACTTGAATGATAAATACATCTAGACTTGAATGATAAATACATCTAGACTTGAACCATAAATGGCCATAAATATTTATGTGTGCATAAATATTTGCTTGACTCTTTGGTTGATGCAAACATAGAGCCAATCACTGCTACATATGTCTCATTAGTTATTTGTGTTAGTGTTTGAAATGTTAACACCCAACGAAACAAAAGACTGTCCAAAACACAAAACATTCAACATTGAACAAGAGCATGCAGAGGAAAAAAGGAGAGGAGGAACCCTGGACACAAGTGCTTGCCACCAGAAAATCTGCTTTTGCAATGTCTCATGCAGAAAAGAAAAACAAATAGTGCACATTCTACTTGTAAGGCTCCCAAGGCAAGAACTGATTTCAACTAAAAAGAATTCTGCCTTAGGATGTCTCAAAAAGCTAAGAATGCTGTCAATCTGATGCAGATTGGAGCCAGATTCCAGCTTTTACTGGCCTTGGGACAAAGGCAGCATGAGGGACAGCCACGGGCGTCATCAAGGCTTTAGCTACAGTGAAATGAGACGGTAGAGGAGGTGTGCTCAGATGTTAGCGAAACGCCAGTTAGCCGTTAGCATTTCATTAACTCTACAGCCTGGACAGGCTCTCTCACCTGGGATCACTGATATAGTTTTCAGGGCTCGCAAAACCCTGAACGTTCGCAGTGCTGAGACATTGCCCAGGTCCACAAACTCTGTGACATATCTGTAAGGGAACGCAGGGACGGAAAAGGGGAGGAGGGTGCAGGAGGTAATTGCGGTAGGAGGATGGGATACACACACCCAGACAAAATCACACACACACACACACACACATGGCGGGACAAGACAAAAGGAGGGTCAGGGAGGGGGCAGAGGGGGGATGGCAAACAGTCACACACAGAGGACAATGGCAGGAGTGCTGGCAGCAGGTGCCGGCAGCCTTACCTGGAATAACTGAGATAGTTTTCAAAGCTCGCAACACTCTGAATGTTCGCAGAGCTGAAACATTGCCTAGGTTTACAAACTCTGTTATATACCTGCAGATCAAATGCACAGTTACTACACATAGGTACACACCTGGCTTACCACTACACATCTGGATATAAGTATTACAGCCGGCTCCTATTATACCGATGAACTGCACATCCGAGACCAGAGAAAAACACAATCTATGCAAAGTGTTGCCTAACGCTTAAGGCTGTATATCAGACAGACAAGACGATCACTGGACCTTAATAATACATGTGGGTCAGGATACTCCATACTTAGAGGGCTGTTACAAGCTTAAGTCTGCAATCTATACTGTCAAAAGAGCGTATGAGTAATCGCCCAAAATCTCCAGATAATCAGCCCAGTTTTCTATTCGTCAGCTTCTGGAGCCCACGTTTAGGGGATGTAATGCTGTGGCAGATTAGCGTTAAAAGTATTTTGTCTCTTAATCTTTGCCAGAGCATGTTGAGATGATCTTATTCCAAGTTGACATTATACTTACGCCATGAGAATAACACTGAAGTCCAGCCAGTTCCAGGGGTCCTTGAGGAAAGTGAAATTGCCCAGACAGAAGCCTCTGGCCAGGATCTTTATGAGCGACTCGAAGGTGTATATCCCTGTGAATGTGTACCTAAAGACGGGCAGGTGTTGCACAGGTTAGATTCATTCAACCGTAAGCCTCATTAAAGACGAGAGGAGGGCACTTACTCTACATTCTTGGCCCATTCTGGAGGATTACTGAGCGTCATGAAAGCACAGTTGGTCAGGATTGTGAACATGATTAACATGCTGAAGCTAGTGAATGTCAAGTTAAGAGAAACAACAAACAAACAGGCATTCACATAACAAGGTGTCGATATCAAACCAAACCATTAAAGCATGTGTTTTTTTGCTTGTTCCCGTTCCACTTTTATGTGATGAAGTATTTAATCTAAGGGAAGTTGCATTGTGGGAGTGGGCATTGAAAGGATATGAGTGCACTAAAACTCTGATAGCAAGTCTTCTGACAGGGTTAAAGGGGTTCAGGATGTACAAGGCAGATGTGGCATTGAAACGGAAGATTGTCTTTCCGCGATTCAATACTATGAAGGTCTGGAATAAACACAAAGAAATACAGTACATTAATACATGCTTTACAGGATTATCCATCCAATCAAATACCTTCACATTTACTTTACACATTGATTAAATGCAAACAGATACGGACTGTTTTAACCTCAAGGTATTTTAAACTAGCGTGATTGCAGTTTAGTTGTGAACAACATCACTGCTGTGTAAGCTCAGACCTTCTGATTGCTGTAGAAGGTGTCCAGGTCCTCCAGTGGAGTGGACACCAGATGAGGAGGCACATCTCCGTAGATGAAGGGCAGCTTCTTGCCGGCCTCCAGGTCAGTGTTGGGCTTAGGCCCGTCCTCATCATCAATGTCACTGCGGCGCTCCGCCCGTGGTCTCCGAGCCTCCTCCTCGGCGATGCGCCTTTCGATGGCGGCCAACGACTCGGGGATGAAGGGGTGGAAGCTGTCAGGTCCGGGCGGTACAAGCAGCTGTGCCATCTTGTCATCGTGCTCCTTCACAGGGCAGCGAGAGGCTCAGCTGAGGCAGGCTGCTGCAGACAGACAGGATACTACTTTATATACGCTCCAAATGACTGCAGGCAAATCAACCATGATATGGGAACACAAAGGTGAGCAGGCAACGTGACTCAGGTGAACAGTGGCATTAACAAGGCCCACAATATTCCTGATTCAACCTTTTCCCACTGAATCTAAGAGCAGCATATTCCACTTGCTAATGCTGTGGTGACTAATACCAATATGAGACAAAGGACTAATGGTTGAACTGAGCTATTGAGCCCTGGTTGTATAACTGAAAAATGGAATCAAAGTAATATTATAATATAATATTAAATGACAATTATGCTGGGTGACAAATGGAATCTTGAAATACATGAGATAAAAGTTTAGACAATATCTCTATATACCTGTTGCCTACATCTGCATACAAGAGTAAGTAATATATGTTTTATATGTTTTCACATTTCCAGTGGAAAACACAAACATCTGCCTAAATACCCCTGTGAGCCATGACAAGCACATCATTGACAGCTATGATGTTGTTTTGTTATGTTATGACACTAATAAATACACCTCTTTACAAGGAACCTCTGGGGATTCTGGGGTGGCCTGAAGCAGCCACCTTATTGATCAGATATTTGTGGGGGCATCATTCAACATCTGGACAACACACTCAAAAGCAACATTGAATCCAGACCCTGGAGTCACCCCAGTCCACGTGTCAGAGCAGCTGAGAGCGTTCTCACTCCCACTGCCATCCAGGACGACCCAAGTTCAATTTGCTATTGAGGCGGAGGACTGACACACAGAAGCGTGATCACATGTTTCTGTACGTCTCAAGCCACACGTGCTTTCTAACGTGTCTCTGTCCATGGTGCTGAAAACAACACCCAATGAATCGCACCATGTCAGTCCAGTCAAATCACAAGTAGGACAAGGTTTGCTCTGATTCACAGCTTCACAGTGACACATTCATGTAAACAACGGTCTATACAGTCTAATGCACATGAGCATGTCGGATTCCAATCAAATTTAAGACAACAACACACATTGGCCACGATTAGAAGAAAAGTAAAGGACATTATAGAATCGATACATGATAAACAAAATCGACTGACAGCTTGTGCCATTGTGTCAGACCTATGATACCTCGAGTGTCGCGCTTTGAGTGGCAGCTGTCGCCATGTTAAGGACTTCTCCGTGATATTGTCAGCACTTAGAAAACACCCTTTATCTCAGCCAAAAAGATGCGTCCATGTTGTCCTTTTCGCCTGGAGATTTACCACTGCTTACGGCACGACGCCTCCCACGGGCGAACAAACAGGCCGTTACGCACACACGCGCGGAGCTGGAGAGACACACTTTGATCCTTCCAGACGCCAATCACCAAAGCACAGCGAATCAGCGCGGTTCAGGCCGGGGTCCAGAGGCCACATGTCCTTGAATGGTTCTCCAGATGTCTTTCAGCAAATGACAAGCGCCTCTCTGGCATGTCCCCTCCACGTCTCACTCAGGCAATGACCAAATTGAGCAAAATGGAGAATAGCGCTGAGTAAAGAGTGAGAGCGCACGGCCGTGGTGCTGTGAATGGGGACGGGAAAAGCCTGGGCGTGTCCTTGCCAGATGTGTCTACTGCTGGTGATCGATCCTACATGAAGGCAACAATTGAATAACCCAAAATAGAAGCAGCCCTGTGCCTGTTGCTCCGCTTCACAACATCGCCAATTTATGAAACGCGAAATTTAAAGTCATTTCAGGGTGACGCGTAATGGGGACTCACAACGGGGCCTGTGGCTGTGTTGTCTGTGTGTAGCAATGACCCCAACGAGTGACATCTATATCAGATAACTTTAGTTTATATACAATCAACTAAAGAGCCCAGACATTTGTATTGTAAAACATACTTTCAATTGTGTTAGTGTGGAAACAGTTGGTCTTCTGCGCAACGAATAGGCTGGCTAATAAGTCATAATATGAAGGCCTACATTTAGGTGAAGACATGTAGATCTTGTCTCGACTGGTGCTGATTGTAAAGTACTGATAAGAGCCGGACTAAGAATCCAAAAAAGGAGGCTGATGAAGAAGAAGAGTCTCTACTTACCAGCATCACGGCGCCCAGCAGGTGTGGGGACCCTGGAGGTAGATCCCATTTCCCGACGAATATTCCGTTTTCTAGCTCACAGCCGTAAATGTAACAGTCAAACGCGTGCCTCCTCTGATCAAACTCTTTTTGGAGTGGTGTAAGATTAACGTCTGCTTCTCTGCTTTGATCTTCAGCCGCACTTGTTGGTCACGGAGAAATCAATGCCCGCTTCCGGTTGGGTACGCACAGGCTGAGAGTGGCTGCGCTCGGAGCTGTCACAAGATGGCCAGAGCACTTCTGTTGTTTAACACCCAGACACCAAGTCACACTGGGCCAGGGACGGGGAAAGTTCTAGACGAGCCCACCTGTTGGCACTCCGGTGGGCTTGGACAGGAGGTTGCCTATAGAGGAATGAGGAGAACTAGCATTGTTATGATCTATTAATAGCACTGTAGATAAAGGAACTCATTTGTGAGTAACTGTATTATATTAAAAAATGCTGTTTCAATGTTGTTACATTGTGTAAATTGTATCTACTCTTGTTTGTTTTGTTTGTGAGCATGGATGTGTTTTAGCTGATATTGGTCACCTGCATTTCTCCAACGGGGATCAATAAAGAATAAAATCTATCTCCCTATCTTTCTAATTGTTATTATTTTATTCATTTCATGTATACTAATCAAAATGGATTGAGAAAGATCACCCAGGTATGAGACACGTATTAAATGATATAAAACTGTACATGCATCATTAATGAAAAAGGACTGAGATATGATGAAATGTGCACTGAACAGAGACGACCTGGCATTTTAGATGCATCAGCCTCATCTTCCGGACAAAGACTGTAATTACAACAGAGTTGCTAAAACATTATTTCGCCATCTGCTGGTCAAGTATATTTACTGCAACACAACGTCGACACGTCTGGTCTGGTCTGTACAATCCATGGTTTGAACACTGCTTAAACCTGGGGCACCTCACCTGGTTCCAATTCACAGACATTGGAACTTTGCTCACGTGCATTATGCTTTGGCGTTGAGCCAAGTTTCAGATCAGATTATTTAATAGAATAATGAAGTGCTTTTGCACATGATAAATATAGATAAACACAGCATGTAGGGGTCGGATTTGTTCACAGAATACTTGGCTCAAAATGTATTATTCATGAATAAAATCATACCACAGCTCTAAAGCACAGCTCTAAGTTAATACAAACACAACACAAGTTCCAGTAGTGACTTAATTATATGCAGTCCCACACTAATATATAAAGTTAGTTAATACCTGAATCAGTTTAGTTTATTTCTTTCATAAATGTAACATTGAGTATATGTAGCCTATACATGAACTATTCAGAAACAGGAATTTGTCTAAAAAAATATTGACCACAATTTTTCCATGGAGATAAAACCCGTTTCCAAAAGTTACACAAATCAGCACATGATATTCTACAGTACTTGGTGAATTAAAAAATGCTCGCAGTGTAATGGTTGGAGAATCTGTTTTTCAGAGGTGAGTTTGTAAACTGTCAGAGCACAGCTTTCTTCACGTCCAGCTGTGACTGCACTTCCTTTTTCATTAGAGAGCCACTGATGAATTTAGAAGTCTGGTTCAAACAGCGGGGACATCACGGATGCTGCTTTTTGCTCAGAACGAATGCCTCATTTTGGCTCTGTCACTAAAGTAAAACTGTCCATTTTAACCTGAACTTGAATATCCTGTTGAACATTGCATGGAGACTTGTCAGATCTGCACCAGTCCCCAGAGCACCAGCCCCTCACTGATCCTCCTGCAAGAGGGAAGGGCTGCTCTGTCAGTGAGAGCATAGCCTTGATCTTTCAGGGCTTCAGGCAAAGTGGGGTTGTGTCTATCACAAGGACAGTGGGAGTCGATGGAGAAGGTCTCGTGGTGGGCTCAATCCCACAACCTTCAGGCTCAAAGGCTAATGCTCTACTGACCACTGTCGCCCCAGGTCGTAGGAAATGACAGATGATGCAAGTCAAGGATATCCGCCGGTTTTAAATTTCTGTCTCTAATCTTGATCTATATCTAGGTCGGAACAGGGCCTTTCTGAGTGGAGTTTGCATGTTCTCCCCGTGTCTGCGTAGGTTTCCTCCGGGTGCTCCGGTTTCCCCTACCACTAAAAACATGCACAATAGGTCTGAATGTAAATGAGAGAGTGAATGGATGGTGTTGGAGCGGATGGTCCAGTGTGTTCTGGACTCGCTTCTTCATCACCGTGTGTGGAAGGATTGGAACAATATCTGACTCTGAACATTGTGAAGCGCTTTGGGTCTGTACCTTGGTCTGTAAAATGCACTATATACATAAACATTACTTACTTACTTACGATATAGATATTTTTCATGGATCAAGATTAAAGATCTATAATTCATGCATGAACATTCAAAAGCGAAACTATATTGACCACTTGGAACGCACTCCCATTGGCATAGATCCACACGGCAGCATATTTTTTGCCCTAAATCACAACAGTAGATATCTCAGAGGCAGCCGTTTGGGCAGACCATAAGGGGCAAATGACCAATGTCCATAAACGTTGTCGATTGTTGAGCTTCTTGAGTGTTGGTTTTGTTCTTTGATTTCACAACATGCTCTGGGATGACTCAGGCAGTGAGTAAGCACCTCTCTGTTCTGTGGTTAGTCATCAGAATCAGTTCAGAATCAGTCCATAAACCGGCACAGAGCAGCACTGATGTGTTTACCGCGTCCAGCCAGACGCCCATTGACCGACAGTAGACCGAGATTACAAGATTACAGCAGACGAGACACATGCGCTCATCAACATTCATTGGATTGAAACTTCTGAGGCCGTCCATTGCTCAACTGTATGCAAATGAGCCAAACCGTGATACTGAGTGCACTTTTGAGTTGCATAAGTTGAATAAGGGAAGACAAAAAAAGATTTTCACTGCAAAAAGTGATGAAAAATAAGTCAAAAAATGCTCAAACTTTGCTAAAATAAGTACGTTTTAGCACATTCTGACTGCTTTCAAACAAGATTTCCCAAAAGGACCAGCAAAAAGTTTCTTGTTTTAAAAGAAATGTCCTCCTTGGAATTAAAAAAATCAAAAGTTCATCCAGAATGAACTCAAACTAAGCTTGTTTTTTTTTACCTCATATTTCATGCTTTTTTGCAGTGTTGGTGATATACAGTACAAGTTTGTGTTTGAAATATCCAATCTTTATAAATGACTTGAGCGTACCACAGGAAGTTTGTCCGAGATCAGTCAAGTTGGGCTAACAGACAGACAATACTTGATTGGCTTATCAGCAAAAACTGAAAACAATTCTGAGAGGATTAGAGGCTTATGTAGGTCAGTGGGTCTCAACTGGGGGGTCGTGGGGTCATTTATAGAGCGAAACAACACCAGTCCTTGGTTTTATATCTACATTAAGAGGACAAATCCACAGAAAGACAACAATCTCTTTCCTTGGCTCCAGTCTCTTGGAGTTCACTTGTTCATAATTTTAGCTTTTTAGATATTATCCATGATCAAGCAGTTCTGTTCTTAGGGTCCAGTTGAAAACCACCAATGTAGATGAATTGTCTTTTTGGTAATTAACAACATAATATATGGCATGGCAAGTTTGTATAGTAAGTAAGTAAGTAATGTTTGTTTATATAGCGCATTTCACAGACCAAGGTAGACCCAAAGCGCTTCACAATGTTCAGAGTCAGATATTGTTCCAATCCTTCCACACACGGTGATGACAGAAGCGAGTCCAGAACACACTGGACCATCAGCTCCAACACCATCCATTCACTCTCTCATTTACATTCAGACCTATTGTGCATGTTTTTAGCGGTATGGGAAACCGGAGCACCCGGAGGAAACCTACGCAGACACAGGGAGAACATGCAAACTCCTCTCAGAAAGGCCCTGTTCCGACCGGGATTCGAACCCAGGACCTTCTTGCTGAGAAGCGAGAATGCTATCCACTCATCCACCGTTCTGCCCATATATATATAGCACAGTTTATACACAACTCAAAGTGCTTAAAAATACAAGATGCAATCACACAAGGCATTAAAATCATAACAAAATCACAGTACATTACACAGAGTACAGATTCATTCCCTCAGATGTATAAATACAGACAGATTTATTATTATAGTTTGAATGACAACACTCAAGATACTTATTAATCATATACGCACTTCTTTAAATCATCATAAAACAGATCCATGGGACAGACGCGCGGACAGTGTCACAGGTCACGTGATGGGAGGGCTCTGTAGGTGTGGCAGGTTGGTCTTAACACGGGATTACGGTGGAAACAAACCTCACATGCGCGGCCTCTGCTCTGCTGGTGAAGTACGCGCACTAGGACGAGCCCAGCGGCGTGATGGGAAAACCAGTCTGCAGCCCAGGTAGGCCCACACTCCCGGTCTGAAATATTACACCTCACCCAACTTTAAATGACTTTTTTTCTCTACTTTGCGCGTATTTAATGGAATGGATGAGGATGGCCCATCATGGAACGCACTAATCCTTATTACTGAAAGAGTGTAAGCTTATTTGGGGAATCTGGCTTGGACACATGGCTCAAGTGTGTGCGCGGCTGCTAGAAAGTGTAAATGTAAATGGCATATGGTTATAAGAGACGTGGCACTATTGGTAGTCAAGGTATTTCACAATTTTCTGTCTTGCGCCGTGCCTTGGGTCATGTGTCGGCTTCTGGTAAACGCTTTGGCACAGCTGTCTGATTGGCACGCTCTTCTGCTCTGCCACCCTAAAATACACGCATGGAACAGCCAGGAGACGCTGTGGATAAGTAGCTATCATCCACGCATGGCTTAAGGTGAATAAAGATCCAAATTCACACACAGAAAACTTGTTATTGATCCCAGAAGGGCAATTAATTCGCAGCAGAATCTCAGAGCAGAACACACAAACGCTACACAAACGCACAGTGATTCGGGTTGACGCAGAAGCAGGTTACTATACAAGTTAAAACGACACAATAAAATGCACAACAATTCCCAAGAGTCGAGCAGCCAGAGTGAAGGGCGATATTCAAGACTAGAAAAGCAAACACTTATGTTGCCAACTGCTTTACGCACAGTGTTGTGACTTTGGACATGGCCAAACAAACAGAACGTGTTGCTGCTTGTTTGAGGAGGCGACTGACTCACTGTTGATGGCTAATTACCTTATTTACCAAATAGGTGTGAGAACCAAGTGCAAGTTGTGGTTTCGCTTGTGTTGTCTTGGCTACATTGTGTCATTCCCTATATGCTTTTTTGACTCTGTAATATCCACCACTGTGCTCAGGCCATATCCTTTCAGTCTTCAAATTGTGGAGTGCAGCTGTTATATTTCACACTGACTCCAACTGTTCCACTGCAGAGGGCAGATACTGCGCGGTCGGCTTTGCCTCCACAAGTGGCTTAGCATAAGTGCCCATTTCATTTGACTGATTTGTTGCGTTTTATAGGGGGACTAATTTGATGTAAACTGGAGAAAATGGATGAAGATGTAAGTCCCCTGGAGAGGGAGCATTCGCTGTCCGTGATGCTGCCTGGGGGACTGGAGAAGAACGCAACGGTCCATGGAAGGTAAACAACAGTATTTCTCATGACTTTTCTCTTCACTTTCTTTAACGTGTTCATCTTTTATAGCAAACCAGTCATGGACTTGCTGGTGACCCTTTGCGCCAGCTACCACCTCAACCCTTCAGAGTACACGGTTGAAGTTCTATCCCCAGGCAATAATAATATTAGCTTCACGCCAAACTCTCCGATTGGTTTACTAGAAGCTGAAAAGATAGTTTTAAAGCCCAGGGGAGGCGAGGAGAAAATCAGGACGCCGTACATGCCAGAGGTGAGTTTTTTTATCCACGTTTTGATGTTGTAAATCCTTGCAGTTGTTGACGTTTCTCTCGAATGCGCAGGCGACTGTGCGGCTTTTAATTAACTACAACCAGTCCCGTAAGACTGTGGTGCGGGTGAACCCTCGGCTGCCCCTGGAACTGCTGCTGCCGCTGGTGTGTGACAAGTGCGAGTTTCAGTTGGAAAGCACCATTTTGTTGAGGGATTGCGAGTCCAAAGAGCCGCTGGACCCGAGGAGGAGTCTGAACGAGCACGGCCTGAGGGAGGTTTATGCCAAAGACACAGCAGCTGAGGACCACGTGGGACCAGGCCTTCATTCTGCAGCAGGTGAGGCCAACACTGCTGCATGGACTTCTACAATAGTGATTTCATTTATACCAAAAAGTCACTCAATAATGCACTAGGACTAAAAACCTGCCCTACTATTGCCACTGTTTCTTTAATTGATTCTATTGTACATAATATATCCTGAACAGACTATATTTATTTGAGTGAGATCAATAAAGTCTATTTTAAATGTATCGGTTATATTTACAACCTCGAGCAGAGATGGCAGGAGACTTGTCGGGTCAAAAGATCAGAATCAAAACCGGAATTATATTTTCTTCATAACAGGAGTTCAGAAACTTTGAATTTTCAAACAAGATGTAAGAGTAAACATATATATTTAAAAAAAATTCATAACATTAAAATTACTGCTATAAAGTGCCCTAAATACTCACAATGGACATTTAGCAGTGCAGCTAAAGTTCAGACGGGTCACTTTCAAACCACCAAAATCCATGTAACTAGTTTTTGTTGCTTTTAACAGTTTGTGAAAAGTAGTTTTGGCCCCTGTTGCATCTTCAGATCAACTTTTTAAGACCGGAACATGAGGAGAGGACCACCGTCGGTTCTGTCTAACTTGTAGGGCGCTTTCTTGCAACTGTGTATATGATGAAGTTTGTAGTCTGATTTTGTTGACAATATTTTACTTTAACATTGTTCACCCACAACAATGTTTATTTATGAAAATGTTTTGGTTATCCCAGCTTTAATGAACTGTTTTCTCATGCATAACATATCATTGCTCAAGCATAATTCAATATAAGATGTAGAAGGATGTAAGGCCAGTGGTGATGATCCAGAACACTCGACATTAGACCACATTTAAGGACTTTATCAACATTTTGGACCTGGGTTGGCGAATCGACAGCTTTGTAATGTCCTCTGAGATGGCCTCTATTGTGATTGATTGATTGAATTGACATAATACATCATGGTGCAAGGTTGTTTTCCCACAATAAATGTTTTCTCTACAAAACAGATATTGCTCCAACCAAGTCTAGCTCCCTGTCTTCATCTCTCCAAGGTAAACCTGCCCACATCACCACAAGCCTTCAGAAACTATCATGACAGTAAATAACATGTAAGGTTGGTGTGTTGTCTATCCAGATCTGACAAAAAAGGAGAAGAAAAAGTCTGGGTCCAAAGGATTCTTGAGTTTATTCAGAAAACATCGGAAGAAATCTGAACCGGTACGCCAAGACAAGTGTTGTTATGAGAAAAGTGTTGTGATTTTTGTGTCTTATGGTGGTGGCTGTGTGCTCAGAGTCATGTGGTCAGCGCCCCGTCGTCTCCTGGAGCCAAGCTGAGGTCTTCCAGTGTGAGCAGTCAGGACGTGGCCTCCTGCACCACAGCCACTGCAGATCTGAGGAAGAAGAGACGAGCTCCTCTACCTCCCATGGGTGCATCCAACAGCACGCCCAACAACCTCGGCTTCTGCCACCTGCAATCGCCACAGGTCCTTCCATTTCCATACGTTGAACGGGCAGGTTGTAGTTTGGCAATGGCGAAAAATGTGATAGAACCAGACCGGATTACTTTACTATCAAGAAATTGAAGCCGGAGCAAGAGGAATGTTTAGCAAATGTAATCGCTGGAAAAAATTGTGGCGCTACTCCCCACGGGCTCCGTTAGCAACAAAGGAGATGGCTAAAGCTAGGCTAAATGCTAACAACTCACTTGGGTTGCATTACATACGTCACGGTAAACTCAGATCCAATAGTTTCAATCTGCAAAAGTAGTTAACCCGTCCCACCTGTTCACGGAGTCAATGGAGCGCCTCCAGACCTTAGTACGAATTTAAATTTGTACTATGGTGTGGTGCGACCAGGCTAGATCTATTTTAGTGCCATACAAAAACAGTTTCACCCCTTCTTGCGCAAATTATTTGAAGTGTACACAATGGAGATCGGTTTTTGCGTACAAACTCTTATGTTTTCTGCCGCTTGTGAGTAATGATGCATTTAAGTGAACAAAAGGAATGGAAATGTGTTTTTATTTGTGCAGAGGTCTGGTGATGATACATTGAGAAGCACCAAAAGGAGGGCACCGCCGCCGCCATCGGCCACAAACCACAACAAAGACGCCACAGAAGGTAACAAACAGAAACTAGTCAAACTTGATCGTTGCGATACAAAAGAATGGAAAACAAAAGGAGTTTCCCTCTAGTGGTGAGCCGCGGAAAGCTCATGTCACGGTAAAATTCAAGAAGGGCATTAAGTCCAATTGACCCTTCATAGTTTTTGAATCTCCCAAAGATAGTCTGTTTTTAAAGAGCACCATAAGGTCAAAACATTGAAGTGAGATAAAGATTAATTTGATGGATGCAGCTCTGACATTTTAAAGATTTACCTGTTAAAACAAGGCATTTTGGGGTGGTTTTATCAGTGCAAAAAATGTAACCCAGCTTAAGGCGATTTAAAGTGAACTAAAAGTCTTCTCCCTGGCAGCAAAGCGTTCCCAGAGACATTCTTAAATTCTCACTATCATGTGTTCTCTACTTTTTTGTACTGTACTCTTTTTCTTCTTTTGTTAATTTAGTGAAATAATTGTAACTTTTTTTTATTGTGCCCTTAAGATAAAACTCCAAATCAAAAGTCTAGTGCTCTATCCTGGCTGAGGCTGTTGTTCTTTTGGACTAATTGGCCTCAGCGGTGGCGTGAGGGCCGGGAGGCTAGAACAACAACTGCCCAGCTAAAGTTCATTAAAACTGTGATACTTCAGCACGCTTTGAAACTTTACTCAGGAACGGGGGCTGCTTCAAGAACAGACGTCTGGTTTTAAGGCGTTTCGGAATCAGTCGCGATAGAAGTTGGAATTTTTTTGTGGACAGAAAATTCAGGGTAAACAAAATCGTCAAAGTTGCCTCAAATCCAAAGACGATCATAGTCAAGAGAAGGGGTAAAAAAAAGTTTTATTTTTCTGTCTGCACTGGCTGGGAGTAAAGCCGAGACGCTTCAGAATACAGAAGTAGTTGGTGCACTAATATATTTCAGGTTTTTCTCATACTTTTATCGCACAAAGCTCTACCAAAACGAGTTCTAAAACAGCGATTTTCAGGGCTGCATCTGAATAAAAAAATAAACCTATCCTTTCCATTGACCTTGACAGGGATGGTAGTACATTTGACCCTACTGTAGCATTAAAACAAATCTCAGTTTTCTATTCACATTTTAACACCTGGAGCTACCATGGAACATAATGCATTTCTGTTCATATGAATTTGGATGCAGCTTTGGTCTAAACCCCTTAACTGTTAATTTCATCTCAATCTTATGCAGCATTTTAAAACATGAGCTCATTTGCAATCCTTTCCTGAGTGGTTCTGGCCCCTGCGCTGCTTTGTGGGTTAAAGCCTTGAACGTGTTGTGTCCTGCTTGCAGATTGTGCTGGTTGAGGTCCGGTCTCCCCGATGGCTTTGCTCTGCTGTTGTAGTGGCTTCACGCATGTCTCTGCTGTCGGTCCCCTGCTGCACACCAATGCTCGTAGTTTGACTTGTGATAGCTTTTATTGTTTTATCTTTTTTAAATGCAGCACTTGTATTGTGGTTGTTTTTATTGTGTCGTGCCTTTCTGCTGTTTTTTATTGCTTTAATTAGTATTTGTTGGTCTAGTCTTTTGTCATGTCTCATCTAGTGTTCTTGTGCTATGCTTGCATCTTTCCTGTGTTCAGCTGTTCAGTGAATATACAGTATATTAGATCAAAATAAAAGCTTGGTTATCCAGTATTTCTATTGCATTTAGACTGCTTGAAAAATGATAATATAGTTGCCCATTTTTACACTTGATTCGGTTTGTCAAAGAGCAAAGAATTTCTTTTGATAAGGCTACTTTATCACGTTGCAAGTATTTCTCTTTTGTTTGCCAAGTGTTTCTTTTTTATTGGGGTCATGGCTGAAAGAGTGTTGAGAAACGATGACCAACTTCCTGCACAATTGTGTTTAAATCAGTCGCTGCATGAATATAAATGTGTTCAAATGAGGCTAAAATGGCTCTTTTATACACTGGTGACTTTTCCAGTTGTAGAATATTCATTGACAACTACCTTTACATGACGGGGCGGCACGGTGGCTGAGTGGATAGCACTCTCGCCTCTCAGCAAGAAGGTCCTGGGTTCGAATCCCGGCCGGACCAGGGCCTTTCTGAGTGGAGTTTGCATGTTCTCCCCGTGTCTGCGTAGGTTTCCTCCGGGTACTCCGGTTTCCCCTACCACTAAAAATATGTATAATAGGATTGGCATGCGCCTCCTGTTCGGCGACCCCGCTCCCATCTCTGTGTGGAGTGAGAGGACAAGTGCCCAAAAATAACAATTGTAAACCGCTTTGTGACTCTGGTCTGTGAAAGGCGGTATATAAATAAAGATTACTTACTTACTTACTTACTTACTTTCTAGATTCTATCATCTCTTTGGAGGAAGTGAAAGAGTCTGAGGAAACTGTCCAACAACCATCTCCATCCTCTTCATTACCTGCCCCTCCATCACCCCCATCTCTACCTCCATCTCTCCCACCAGCTCCTCCCTCCACTCACCCTCTCCATAAGACCCATCACCCAAACGCTCCCAGTATTCATAGTCAAGACCTGTCTGACGCCCGTGCAGCTTTGGCTCAAGTCCTCACGTCGTCCTTGACCGGTGGGACGCTGGTTAAACGCCTCAGAAACTCCTCTTTCTCCAAAGCCCACAACGGTGCTTCATCTGTGTCCGAAAGTGATGTAGAACTAAAGTCGGTTCTTTGTAGAAATTTGCAAACGGACAGTGACTTTGGAGACGCCGCAGGAAGAAGAGGGCTGACCACGTATAAAGTGGTGCCGTCGAGGAGGCAAAGTGACGCAGAGCCGGTCCCAGAGGAGGCAGAAGGAGCTAAAGTCATTCCAGAACCTGAGCAACCAGTCAACCCAGACCTGGAGGAAATAGAAACAAAACCGGAGCAGGTCAACCCAGAACCGGAGCAGGTCAACCCAGAACCGGAGCAGGTCACCCCAGAACCGGAGCAGGTCACCCCAGAACCGGAGCAGGTCACCCCAGAACCGGAGCAGGCACGTCCAGGCCCGGAACCGGAGGAAGCAGGCCCGGAACCGGAGGAAGCAGGCCCGGAACCGGAGGAAGCAGGCCCGGAACCGGAGGAAGCAGGCCCGGAACCGGAGGAAGCAGGCCCGGAACCGGAGGAAGCAGGCCCGGAACCGGAGGAAGCAGGCCCGGAACCGGAGGAAGCAGGCCCGGAACTCATAAATGTAGACCCAGAACCGGAGCTAGCAGAAACAGAATCGCACCTTAACAAACTCGAACCCGACCAAGCAAAACCAGACCACATCCATCATGAACCGGACCAAGTCAAACCAGATTGGAACCAAGTGGCCCTAGAACCTGACCAAGTGAACCCAAAATCAGACCAGGCCAAACCAGAAACCGACCAGGTTGACCCAGAACGCGATCAAGTCGAACCGGAAATAGAAATCTGTCCACAACCAGAGCTATCTTCAAAAACGGAAGAGTGTCTGGACCAATCAGAAAGCGGCTTACCCATACAATGTCTGGATGAGGAGGAAACTAATTCTAAGGACACTGTTGAAACGGCAAAACAACAAAATGGAGAAGTGGAGTGTATCGTTGACCACAAAGTAGAAGCGTCGGAGCCCTGTCATGAGATCAACCGGGATTTGTATTTAGGGGAAGAGGAAGTGGTGCAGTGTCATACAGAGACATGTGATGAAAAAGAGACGCATAACACACAAGAGGATGACAGTTTCCCTCCACCGCCGCCTCCCATGTATTTCAACGAAGATTTGGGTGAAGCCGACGGTGGTTTTGTCACCAACGGACACGTGTGTTCCAATAGTGAGCCTCCCAAACTCAAACCACCAGCGGAGACTTTGGAGGCGGTGGTTTCTGCTCCCTCCAGGTTTGCACATGCGGTGGCTCTGGCCGTGCAGAGGACCAGGCTGCACAGCACTGGGAAAACAAGTGCCCCGGTTCAGCAAGATACATAAGGGAGAAAGGTCGGGCTTATTCAAATGAGATACTGAGTTGTTTTTAATGTAGCAAATATATAAACGCAAACCAAGGCGTCTGCCGGAGGAGCATGGGAGAGGTCTATGCGTTCTTTTGACTAATATTGTTAAATCTATTTATTATCTTCCTGCGGTAGCCAGTCAATACCAGGATGTTTGTAACTAATGTTTTTGTTTGTCCTGTGCAAGACACTTAATTTATTCTACAGACTATTTGTGTTCTGGTGTTGAGCATAAACCTTTTCTGTTGTCTAAAAGGCCAAATCTGCAGCACAGAAATCATGTGCCATTATGAAAAGACATTCTGGGGGTTGTAACTTTGAAGTTCTGCAGTAATATATTTACCTAATTCTTTGTGCTTACTACTTTGTGTGCATTTTTATCTTTACTAATGCGGTCTCAGCTTTTCCTGAGACTGGTGCGATTGTTTCTATTAACAGCAGGTGGCGCTACAGCACCGCAAGTGAAACGCCAGACTCGTTTTGTGTGCATGGTCCAACTCCGGTCATGAAGATAAAGATCTGTCGTAATGTGCAAATATATTTATTCGACACTTTTTAATTTGTGTGTAATTTTTTTCATGTGACAGAATCTAAGTTATTATAACACGTGACATGTATCACTAACAGGCTAATACAAATGGAAACGATGCTAATAAACATTTATTTAGTTATGTTTTGTCCAATCCTTCACAGCCAAACTTCCTTGTAGGAATCATGCAGTATGCCAAAGATGTGCAGGCTGCCTCACGGAGCAGTCCACTTTGCTCACACATGACTCTGTTATGTCTTTAACGGAGCCACAGCTCGGGGCAGTGCAGATAGACTCTGGTGCCAAAAGAATTCATAGCACCATGTATTGATCCAGTCCTGGCCTTGGAGGAGCACTGAGGCCCAGGGAGCCAGGAGCGCCGGTGGCTACAGCTCGTGTTGCCAGGCCCGGGCTGAGTGGGCTCCTCTGCACCTGAGGATGGGGGAGATGGGGAGATAAGAAGGGTCCTGTGGATGATGGGAGCTGACCGCTGACCCTGTCGTGTTTCCTCGAGCTCCCCCCAGAGGAGCGCACGGCCCTCAAGGGCACAGTGGTGTCACCGCGCCGTTGTCATGGAGAATGCCATTACCGCCCCTAAGGGAGATCACGTCCACAGTTTAGAAAAACCTGCAGAAGAGAAGCATGCACACCTCGAGCACAGGAGTTTTTCCTCGGCCAAATTCGTGACAGCCAATATAAGTGACAAGTGTGGCATTAGTGAAAGGTTGGATTTCAACCAGAGCAGAGATGTTCAGCTCTTATGCAGACACTGAGAACATGGTGAGACCTGCGGGCCTGTAATGCACCTCTACACAAATGCTACACTGTCACGGCAGCTTATTCTCCATTATTCGAGTTAGAACACTGCCATCCTCAACAGGACTCTTATGGGACAAAACAAAAGGGTTATGGCTGGCTTTGGAGGGCACCTGAGTCACGTGACCTTAGTCTGACCGCGGTCTAGACCGTCAGCCTCACTCAGAGTACACAGCAGTGGGCAGGAGGTCTCATTCATTACTGTGCCTAATTGTCTTGCCAAAGAATATAATTGCATCTACAGATTGTAAATCAACCAGCTTCAAGTTGACAATTCATTGGAAACCTTACTTGGAGAGTTGTTGGTCATACACAATACTATATTGTTGAAAGCGCAGTCTATAAAAACTCTCAAACGACTTGAATCAATAACACATAGCTGGCCCACACAAACACCGGTAATGCGCATTTATCATTTATTTATTCCTTCATCTCACCATTCATCTCTACTTAGTTTTCCATCTGATGTGCGTGCCTGGTGGTTTGAAGATGCCCACGAGCTGGTCCAAGTCAGAATGTGATTATAAAACAGTGGAAGGGCCCCGGGGCGCCCATCGCATCGGCAGAGATCCACTGTGTGTGCGCGCGTAATGTAGCCTGTTAATATATGTGTGTTTACATGGCACCTCCAATGCTTGGCTCGAAATAATCAATAGATGAATCACCCACAGCATGTGTTGTTCTCCCCAGGCAATGCGCTGCGGCTTAATGCTATTCTTTCCCATTCACCTTGGGAGCGGCATCCATCGGGCCTCCCCCTAAAGAGTGAGGTACGCCTGCCTAAAACATCACCAGCGCTTGAGGGGGGAGCGCTTTGGAAAGTGATGCGGGGAGAGCTCAGTTTGACCCGGAGACCTCTTCCATGTTCGCGCGGAACGGGAAATCACAGAGTTCCAGCCTCATTGGCATTGTCAGGCGCTTACAGTGGTGCTTCTCTGCATTGTGCTGCTGGTTAACTGGTTCAAATGTTATGGAAATGATATTTACCTCTTCTTTGATCCTGTAAACTCCACACACACACTTCCCTTTCTCTCTTGCGCAGGGAAAAAAACGAATGGGCGCTATAAATACATTAAAACACAGGAAAAAAAGCTATCTGATGTGTGTTTTTAAAATATCCAAAGTAAATCAATCATTTTGGAAGCTTTTTGAATGCAGAACGATTTTGTTGTTGTTGACAGGAAGCTCAATGTCAAGCAGGTTTGATTCATGGGCCCTGGCAGCGCTGCGTAAAAGTCGCCAAACTAAACGCATTGGAGAAAGGTATTCCATACATTATTGGGCCGGAGTGGACACGGGGTGATTTCAGCCATTTTTCTTCATTCATCTGTCCAAGCTGAGGGAGCGCTTGATTGTGATGAATGGACACTGCCTGGGATCCAATGCGTTGACAAACTGACACAATCACTGCAGTTAATTTGTCACCAGCGGCTGTCCCTTTGATCAAAACAGACGCGCCTGCCCTCATGTCTATACAATGAGACAAATGGGCGATTAATGCCAAAAACAATTCGCCTCTTATGGCTTCCGTGTGATGCGCCAACCTTATCTTTGACTGGGCTCTAATCACAGCAACGATCCCCGCAGAAGTCGCTCACAACTTTATACAGAGGGAGAATAATGAGGCGTGAGTGACAGTGCAGCGCCACGAGTGACCAATAGGGGGCACAATAGGCACTAGTTTAAATTACAGACATTATCAGACCATTCAGACAGATATTTGAAGTTTGATTACTGAGGCATCGCCCACAGGAAACTTGTCAAAAGCTGTATGGCCAAACGTACATACACTATTTACGCAGAAGAAGAAACTGTTGTTGTTACGTTACTCTAGGTTTCTCCATAAAGAGCAAAAAGACACATGCTGAACTCTTAACAGCACTGAATTAAATTAGTATTTTTTGTATCATTATCTGTTTGTGTGATTAACATAATAATGTACTAAGGTGTATCTCCCTCAAATCATCAATAATGTTCTACAGTACCATCTAAGTTATGATGACGATATTTGATCAAAAACAAAAGAATGGAACAAATGAGATTGTTAATTTTGTAATTGTAGATAGATACATCATTAAATAAACAAACAGGCTAAAATAGGAAATATTTGAGAGGAACTGTTTGCGATGTGGGGGCACGGCCGGGTTTTATAATTGTGTGTTAGAGCTTTGACACGAAGCTCTCCAAATGTCTCCTTGGTGATTTTGGGTAATTTCACAAAATGTTTTCTTGTTTGTTCTTTAAAAGCCCACTTTGGAAAGGCCTTTAAAAAGTTTCTCGATTCAAACCAAACTTGCACAAATCTACTTCCTCTTGATGGAGCTGCTGTTCCCAACACATCCCAGTATATATATATTTTTTTTCTATTTTTCTTCTTTTTGTCTGTCATCATTAATAATTCATCTCCCTTTCTTGGTTGCTAAAACAACAACAAACAGAACAACAGCTTCTGATAATGTATTCAGTCAAAAGCTCATTGTCTGGGGGGTGGGGGGTAAGAGAAGGAAGGGGACAGCAAAATGTGCACTGGAGTGAGACAAGAGAGCACCCCGACAGGGAGAGGCTCAATGTCACGCGCAAGAAAGAAAAACAAACGCCAGAAGGCACGGAAATATGGAAAAATGACAGAAAAATACAGTTTGTAAGTCATAAAAGACCAATTAGAGGCATTAGGGCTCGCAAATGGAGATGAATAATTTGAGCAATTTTGTTAAAAAAATGGGTGATAAAAAGGGACGTATTTTCTTCCAGCTTTCAGAAAACAGTAATTCAAGTCTATATAGCATTACAGACTTTTACTTACGCCTCGTTCAACCCCCCACTGTGACATCCCCCCTTTCACTCCCCCTTTCGACAACCTTGGATGGCCCTGCGCGCACATTACACCATAATAGATCATGAGTCATTGGATTTTAAGCATTCACGCAAGCACAATGCAGGGCACATTAGACCCCATTATCGAGTCACTTCCCTAACCCTAAATTTGAGGCAATACAACTTCAATTGATGCCCCCATGTTGCTGCTTCACGCTTGCAAATTGCAGGAGCAGGCGATTCCGACTATATGTCTTCCTATAGAAAAATACATGGAGAAAAATGAATCACATATAGCTGTAGTGTGGCTCCGGCAGAATTCATTCAAAGGACTGAAGCCAGAGTCCTGATTGACATCACCAAGCCGTGTTTCGGCCGCCTTTCACTGCCATTCCTGCGTTTCCTGATAAACACAGAGAAAATTGCACTTGTAAGATAATTTAGTCCAATTAAAGGCTAAAGAAAATAGAATAAAGTCGCCTGATGAAAAATGTCAAGGCATAATTGCTTGTAGTAACTGCATTTGTACTTTTAAAATGAGATCCAGTGTCCTTGCAGCAAATGGCTAAATTAGTTTGTTTAACACACCTAGCGCTAATTAGCAGCTTGTGTGGGATTGGCTGTTTCTGGATTTATGTATAAAAAAGGACGCATTTTAAACGTGTTCATTTCCAGTGAGTGCAGTTGTATGGGCTGTCATCTATAAGACATATCAGTGAGCGTTAGCGTTAGCGTTGATGTGACTAATGAATACCTTTTGCACGGTGCATGAGTACAGAAAATACTATGATCACTTTATTCCAAACAAGGTATTATATGTTTTAAATTGACAAAAAATCTGAAAATGCCATTCTCAACAGAAAAGTTCATGAATATGCTTAGACTAAGAAGTGAATCTGGCTTCAATAGGAAAAAAATTAAAATGACTACGCCATTGAAGGACTTGGAGTTCTGACATTAAAGTGAAAACGCTTGCAGTGTGTGTGTGTGTTATGCAATAAAAGCCTTGTAGCGACTAAATTTGACAAATCTCTTCTTATTTGACCAAAGAGAGGAATCATTGTGTTATACAAAGCTAAAAATCACTTCCATGTCTGCAAGCATCTGTGTTTTTTCACCACTGGAGCTTGTTATAATGAGTGACGGCGGACGGCGGAGGAGCGATGTGGATGCATGAAAGAACGCTGTAGAAAAATCCATTCAAGGCCAATGGGAGGCTCCGCAGCGTAACCAACGGTGATAGATAAAAGACATGGGTAATGACTTGTCTAACCTGAAAAGCTTTGTTGACAAATGTAACCAATATTTGACTAAGCTGCTTCGCCGGACATTCACTGGCGATGCTTTTACCGGATCTCTCTTCGTATTGTTGCAAAGAGTACACAAAACTTACGCTGAATGAAAGGTGAGAGGTGCCGGCTCTAAAAAAGATGTTTGCGAGTATCTTTTATTTGGAGTTTGTGCAGATGCTGCGAGGGGCCAGGCTATTAACAGGTGCTTTCCACGCAGCTTTAGAAGGAGCCGCCTAAGGTAGCTTTAACCTCAGCGCCTTCAAAAAGCAGAGGCTAAACAAACAAGGAGCCTTCACGCAGCAGGATTCCAGTGCGGTGAATCCGTTATTGCATAAGGGATTGACAAATGTATAAGATTTAATTAGACTCTGCGGGGCAAACATGGGCCGTGCCATTGTAAAGGTGTAATAATGTAGAGATAACACTGAGTAAACAGAATGAGATGGACACTTCAGATTCCACAAAAGGACTGTATAGCAGCAGCACCAGTTATGTATGTATAGAAAAAGAAAGAAAGGAGCCACGCAGAGAGGATCTATGAATGTTGTCTATGCGCCGGACTCAAACAAATCCATTCTCAACTTCACTATCAGTTTATGGCAGTTTTATGGCTCACTCAGACTAATACATGTAACACTCAAATGATTGTTTTATTCTATTGATTAATTTGATTGTCGTCATGTTCCGCACTGTTAATACTATGATTATTATATACAACCAATATTCAGGTATTTTAGATTTGCTTCATTGTTATGCTAAAGCTAGAGATGTTATAACTAGCTTATTATGCTAAAGCTAGAGATGTTATAACTAGCTTATTATGCTAAAGCTAGAGATGTTATAACCAGCCTCTTTATTATACTAAAGCTAGAGATGTTATAGCTAGCCTCTTTATTATGCTAAAGCTAGATATATATATATATATATATATATATAATTTTACAATTAGCTTCTTTATTATGCTAAAGCTAGATATGTTATAACTAGCTTCTTTATTATGCTAAAGCTAGAGATGTTATAACTAGCTTATTATGCTAAAGCTAGAGATGTTATAACTAGCCTCTTTATTATGCTAAAGCTAGAGATATATAATATATATATATCTAATATATATAATTTTACAACTAGCTTCTTTATTATGCTAAAGCTAGAGATGTTATAACTAGCTTGTTTATTATGCTAAAGCTAGAGATGTTATAACCATAGACTGTAAATATTAACGGACAGAGTCACACCTATCTCCGCCGTTCTAACTAATGGGCCAAAAAAATTGCTCTACTGGAGCTATCCAAAATGGCCGCGAGTGGTCCCGCCCACAAGAAAATTGTGAAAAAACGCATCAGCACCATTCAATTGAACGAGAGACTTCAAAAATTCACAGCAAGTAAACTAGAGTGGACCAAAAAAATCACCCCCCTCAGCATTGACACACATGTGGAACGGAGCTTTGGGCCAAGAGACAACTTTTGGTCCATCCTGTAAAGACGTTTTTGAGAGGTCTGCCAATGCTATATGTTAGCATTGGCTAATTCTTCTTCTGGGTCCACCAATTATATTGTTATAATTATATCATACTATATTAAAGAATATTGTTTTTATTGTGTACTTATTTGTTATCACACAGATTTAAGTATAAATTTGTATTTATTTTCGTAATTTTTTTCATAATTTTCCTATCCCCAGTGCTGTATGCGCTGCAACCGTGAAATTCCTTAACAGGGGGAAGAATAAATAAATAAATGTTCTTTCAATATTCCAACATTCAGTGCATTTATTAATAGTTTAACACAGCAACTAATTTGTCGTCAATTTTCTCTCTTTTTTTTCATGACGCGCGCTCAAAGTTGACAACACTAACATATTTTTATAACAGAAAATAATTTTTAAAACAGTATTATTTTTTTTCTTACTTTTCATTCAAAGTGCGTGTCTCAGTTTGAACTAATTGAGATTATAGGCAAACAATTCATCTCTATTCATAAGATCCTTGTTCTGTCTTGATGTTTCCAAATGAGTGTGTTTTGATACTAGTTACTATTGTTTGCTGACGTGGAGACGACTCCTTTGACAACAACATGGAAGAGAAATGACAATATTCCTTCTACTTGTTTTTGGTAATAACCTCAGCAGTTATTTTAATCAGATCAAATGACTGGATGGTCTTTATCTATTCTGCTGGATATTATAATCAACAGCACGCTCCCAGTGCACTGTCAGACTGAAGTGTCCTGCTAAGACCCAGGGGAGAACTTTTACTCATTTTGTTTTCTTCATAAAATAAGCGTTTGTCAGATCCTGAATTATAGAGAGAATCATAGGCTCAAGCAAAATTTAATATTAGACATTCTCGAAAAACAAAAATATAAGTTTATGGCATTTTTTCTCTAAGTACAGATACATAGTCCTTTACAAAATATTTAAAGAACTTTTTAGGCAAGGCAAGTTTATTTGTATAGCACAATTCATACACAAGGAAACTCAAAATTAAAATTAAATAATCACAGTACATTAAAAATAAACATAAAAATATAAAATCCCTCAGTTGTATGCACAGCTAAACACAACTGTCTTTAACCTGGTTTTAAACATTGACATTGAGGAGGCCTGTCTCACATTTTCAGGAAGATTGTTCCAGATTTTTGCATGAATCTGAAAAGCAGCCTCCCCATGTTTAGTCCTGACTCTGGGCACTAACAGAGTTTTTATATCAAATGCTGATTAAAATATGCAACGTTTTTACCCCATTCATCATTGCATTTATTGTATGTATTTTATTTTTCCCTGTATATATTTCTGCCGTAACAAAACGACTTGAAAAAAAAGAAAAATCTCGCCGCCGCCTGCTTCATTTGTCAGTGTCAGTGAAAAGAGATGTTTTCCCAGGCAATTGAGTGATATATGTTACAGGCATTGATTTGAGCTGGACTAAAATAGCGCGTGTGAGTCTACGAGGCTGTGGCACTGTCTTTTCTCTCCACATTTTCAACATTGCCCCAACAAACTTATTTCGGCATGTTTTTGACAGAAAAGGAGAAAAGAATCCGCCTCACAGCTTCTGAGCGTCTCGTATATAATATGAATTCAAGGTGTGATTCGCAGACTTTATTAATTCAGGGCCACAGAGACAGCTGAATAATGAAATTTAATGAAATTTTTAGACGGACTAAAAGTCAGAGAGCTTCTGTCATTAATTTTAAAAGCATACCATGAGGACGAGGAACGCAATCACACATTCTGCAGACAAGGAAAGCATGGGGAGTTTTTTAACGAATTTGCAAAACAGTTAATTTGATTTCATTTACTATCGGGTTGCGTTAAAGAATGGACAAACAAAGCTGCTGATTTTCAAATGCACAGAGCATAAGGGTGAAGACAAAAGGAAGCTATAAGTTCAAGTGTTCTCAATAAAGCAAACGCTACGGTATATCGCACAAACACACCTTTTTATATTCATTACTGCAGCAGTTTTAAGGCTCCACAACAACTTCCTCAGCTATCTCTTCAAAGGCACTGCGTCTAATCTCTCCATGACCCATCTCTTTCATTGCAAAAATACTTCTGGGCTCAGTATTCCATCGCTCCTTCATGCAAAAAAAAGAGCTTTATTTGCCTGCTAATGCCCTGCGAGTTAATTTGAAGCTAGAACAATGTGTCGGACGAGCGGGTTTTTCCACAGCATTACATTTGGGTTTTTCATGCATGCAGCCGCTGAGGAACAGCCTTCAAAATGTTATCTTAAATGGATCTATTTAAGAGACATTTCCTGCATAGCGTTCCATCCACCAAATTAATTGGTTTATTGGCTTCTTTTCAAATCTGCCAAATGAAGTTGGGAGATAAGTTGAAAACCTATCAACAATACGAAGCACCATTACCACTTATACCCACAACAATCATGTGTTGATTCATTTCCCTATTGTTTGGCCTTCGGATGTATTTTGGTGCTGAAGCTTGGGTGGCTATTTATTTTCTCGTCGAAATCAGAATAGACCTTGAAAAATTGTCAGCTAGTCTTCATCAAGCTATGTCTGGGATAGTCAATTTTTAACACTGTAAGTAATTAGGTGGTGCATTTTTACAGACCGATGTCACCCAAAGCGCTTTACAATGTTCAGAGTTCAGATAATGTCCCACTCACACACGGTGATGACGGAAGTGAGACGCCGAACACACCGGACCATCAAAGCCCCTGACCAAACTGCAACTAATCACTTTCTCATTACGTTCATGTGCAATACATTATTTGCACATAAATCAATACCTGTTATGTACCATTCAAATCTGACACACAGCTTTTGACCATGTATTTTTATTCAGAATATATATTAACTTTAGCCCGAGTCTCACCGCCGACTCCCCCACTACTTTGATAGACAACTTTATTTCTGATTCCGGACGATTCGGCAGCGACATGCAGACATTAGAGGTTAAAGAGGTTAAAATCTCCAGTGTTTGCCAACTTGACTTGTAGTGAAGCGAGTTCTTAAAAGTGTCAATGTATGTCTATATTTTCACAATAAAAAAATAAGTCTCAATGTTTTGCGGAGGTTGCGTAAAGGTGCAAAGTGATTCAAAGAGACGGAATAGTGAAGAGACTTGTTTATTTAAAGTTGGGGTAAATGTTTCTTCATAATCATTTTCATAATACATTTTGTACAACGAGCCTTGTAAAAGTAAAATGTCTGTCTTTATTATATTAAAAAAAGCATATTTTGCATACCTGTACGCTCTGTGAGTCACTGTGAGTCACTCAGAGTTCAGTCTCCGTCCTGGTCCAGACTCAGTCCCCGTCCTACAGCCTGAGTCCTGGATCTATGGCCTGTTTCTCTCAGTATGGGGCCCCCAAGGTTTCTCACTTCTCCCTCCCCCCCCCCCCTAGGATTTTGAGCGGTTTCTTGCTGTGATGAACCAGGACATTTAAGAACAGACATTGATTAACATTCACAGACATTGGTCACCCTGTTCTCCCAATGACCAATGGCTCCAATCGCTCGTGATCATTCCATTTCCTGTGTGCGAAATGTCTGATTCTCTGATCTGCTGTTGATTGTCCGAGTGAGGATGTTTGAAAAATCGGATCCAATCTAAAGATGTGTCAGAGGCCAAAAAATACACACATGTGAAAACTGCTAGAACATATCGGACCCCATACCCCTGCTTTAATAACAGTGTTTTATCTCATTATCAAATACTTATTAAAGAGCCACCGGTGTCATCCATAATCACAAACAGACAGAAGAAAGTTTGATAGATTACAAATTTTGCTTCTAAAAACCAGGTACCCCAGCTTTAGAGCGACCTTGTTAAAGCCACAAGTATTTATCCACTGTCCCCCCTTTGGTTTCGCTTTGTGCATTTGGTATCTAAGCATTGAGCCGGTACAATAGGTGCAGAGTAGACCCGAGATGAGAAGCGGCAGGAGCATAAAACCACTCAGATCCCCACGGCGCGCTCATCCTGCCTCCCGTCCCATAGAGCTGCCACCCTGCCCCTGTGTCCCAGCATGGTCCGTGGCTGCAGCCCCCGGCCCGCACACCTCTGACCTCACAGGAGATTGGATCCTGGGACAGCGGGAGGAACAGAAGGACGGCTGGCATGGCTGACACCGGAAAGATGGACACATATTCACGAGCTTTATTTAATCATGGCTTTGACTGTCACCGCGGCACAGGGGCCTACGAGGAAGAGGCGAGACGCTGACTTCTCAAGTAACCTGTTTGTTAGAAGGAGAGGAGTAAATATGGCGTGGCAGGGGTCGCAACTTTGTGTAGGAGCAGTGTGTTGTAGTTCATGAAGATGTTGAAGTACGTACAGTATGGAGGCCTTTTGCGATGTCATTTTGGTCACGATAAAGTGCCTTATTTTGATAAATGATCATATTGGGCATGTTGTTTTTGATACGTTTATATATTTTTTATCTGTTAATCTCTTTTTTCAATTAAAATAATGTTCTTGTGTCTTTACTTTATCATTTTGAGATTTCACTTTTTATTGTGTTTCCCTTGGAGGAGTCCTCTGCGCTGGGAGTGGTGGTCAGGCTCATAGTGTGGGTCTGGCTCATGGACCTGGAGGAGGTTTGGAGTCTCGGCTTCAGCTTTCGTCTGTGTCACCCCCTGTGGCTGCAAGGGGCTCCCTGGATTTTGGTATAACCTGCACTCAGCCTCATGTTTTCCATACTTAAATCCAGTGGTTCTTAACCTGGGTTTGATATCCATGTGTCGGTGTGCCTGTGTGTATGTGAAAATGGGTTGGTGGGAATGTTTTAATATGACTGTAAAGCACTGGTAGTTTTGGCCGAGTTTTCTACATGATTGCGAGGGAACGGCTCTCCCGTACATCCATCCAGCTTCTTCCTCTTTATCAGTTGCCAGATTTCAGAGACAGCAGTCTGAGCAGAGACTCTCAGACTTCCCTGTCCATTCAAACTTCCTTCAGCTTATCCGGGAGAATCCTAGGAGTTTCCAGGCCAGCTGAGAGACTTACTGTAGTCTCTTCAGCCTGCCTTAGGTCACCCGCAGTATTTTCTCCTGGTGGGACAGAACCACCCTCACGAGAGGCTTCTAGGAGGCATCTGAAACCTTCTGAACCATGCCTGAGCCTCCACAGCTGGCTCCTCTTGACGTTTTTAAAAACAGGAAGTAAAATGTAATAAATAAATAAAATGTATATATATACATATATATATATATATATATGGTTAAACCTGCCTTTGTGACAAGAGACAGATGGAAGCATGTAGAGTTCGGTCTCGGGTGGAATTTTAGTTTGCACTGTTTATGATGAATATAAAGTTTTGTCACAGTTTGTCCATCTGCATTGCTTGTTGTAGTACTATCTTCTTTGACAACAATCTGAAAACAACCCACGATAAAAATAAAACATAAAATTAAACCAATGACTTCCTTGACCTCGCCTGTAGATGGGCATCAGTCTTTACAGATGTTACAAGTCAAAAACAACCCTAGGCACTCACCAGGCAATGTGTTGTTAAATACATCTCTAACCTTTTTGGAGAAGATCACGTTTTTTTACTTGCCTTGTGAAACATCTGTGAGGTCTAAGTAACGGAGACTTTGAGAATAAAGATCATGCGTCTCCAAGTTTGTTCAGAACTCTCCAACCGCTCATCACATCGTATCGCCGCTAATACCACCCACCTCCAATACAAGTCAGGAAATAATTACGGTTTTACAGCCAGCAAAAGTCAATGTTGTATTTTTTTAGGGAAAACAGTCAAGCTCTGATCACTATCTGGACACACATACAGTACATACAATATTATGTGCATAATGAGGACAACATTAAGAAACTTCCTCCAAAAGGTTACGCACAATTTTCTGTGTTCATACAATGTCTTACCCACGATTGCTGGTTGTCCGATTATATATATCCTATTAAAACTAAAGCGGAGCATGCTGTTGATAATGAGCCTCGCAGCCTTCACAGTCTAACAGTTTGATGTGGTATCCAGCTGTGACAAGGATACAATGCAACAACACAAACGCGAAACTATAGCATTTCTCTTAGTCAATACCCATCACATCTATATCATAAAAGCGAGAATTAGCCCGTCAACTTTGTGGCAGGGATAGAGGCAGCCCTGCGATTGAGTGGCCTGAGCACGGTGGGTGCTCTTTTGAAGGTGTTTGCCTGAGCTGTCAAATGATGTTGTCACGTAAACATGTCAGGGAGAGATCCAATATGTGTAGCCCCCGTCCCGGCGGCTGACAGACGGGAAGGCGCTCTCCTCCGTTAGACCCGCCCGTAGACCGCGCAGTGTGAGAGCGCCGCAAACAAACAAACAGGAGACAAAAGACTGCGCTCGCATCCAAAAGTACTCCTCTTTTCAAAGCCCCAAAAGAGAAAGATTGGGTGTTGTCCCGCACTTAACTCGTCACACTGTTCCGCAACTAAAGGGAGACGGGGAGTATAGTTTCTGTACAAGGAAACATGTTTTGATACTGTTGTACTTTATAGATGAAAATAATTGCCAAACTCTGCAGAGCATGTTTAGTAACAATCAAACGCTCCTAAATCTGTAAACACAAGTAACAAAGAAATATCCTTCAAACCCCATTTTTGCAAATAGGGACAATGTATTTTCCGCATCTATCAATATGCAAATAGTTAGCAAGGCAGAGCTACATATTTTTAATTTCTCATTCATTTTTGTCCATAACCAATGTCCAAAATTGGTTATAAATGTTGCTAAATGTCCATAAATGTACTTAAATGTCCCGGATGATCACAGTCCTCAGACCCTATAACATCGCCAAGGTGTCTGGACTTGGTTTAATGTAATCTTTTAAGTTTTTCCGATACAAACATGAGTATTGTGTCCAGATCATGTGATTAATCCCCGTTACCCAGTGTGACCAGATGTAGAGAAACGCCTGAAATGTCGCACTTTTTCCTTGTTCCTTATAGTTGTGCAAACCGTTCATACACTTTCCACAAATCTGTAAAGGCCAAGCAGAGGCAACAAAGAAATACAGCTGCTCGGTGCAAGGTTCAGAATAAAGGAGATTCCTCAACCCACATTTGAGCTCTGACAGATGCTCGCTGTCACCTCAGACCACGGCTACTGCTGCGTCAAACTTTGAGAAGGACAAGGAGGAGAGTGAAATAAATAATAAATAATGTCTTTTTTCTTCCATCTTAAACAAAACGCAGCTAATTCCCTGTTAATTACATGACTGTGGTCTTGTGAGAACGGTTTAGACAATTCTGAATCTGATTGTACTGTTGTTATTGCCTCCTCTTTTGTTATTCAATACCGATACTTCAATGGAATAAGGAAGCAATAAGCAAATAAGATAAGCGTATACGTACTTGCCCTGAAAACAGAGGACACATCCATTGAGCCAAGTCCTCCCAAGAGCAGGTGGTGTTTGGGCCTGAGACGGCTGTAAGAATGTGGCGGAGGTCATGCTGCCTTAGATCAAAGACTACGAGAACATCAGGATAAAGTTATCTCTATCTCATGAAAATAGTCGTCTTTTGTATCATTGCAGTGTTTTCCACAAAATCTTTGTAACTCCCATAAGATTCTAGCGGTTATTAACGATGGAGATGTATTCATACGATAAAAGACTGTAAATAGTCCAGTCTTTGAAAGCTCCATGCAGCTGGAAGTGAGTGGGTGTAGTCCTTTTAAATAATAGCCATAGCTTTGAATAGCATTAGAATACATGAGGACTCTTGGACAGCGAGGTGCTCTCCCTTGGTTCCTAATGTATGACTATTTCATATGGACAGGACAGGGGCGGGAGGGGCTAGGGGGGTATCTGTCGGCAGGGGTGATTGACACGAGCCCACATTACGGGTAGCTTTCCGAAATGGGTCCGCGGAGATTCGCCGGATTGGGTCTTTCGGATGTGCGCAGATTCCCGTGTGGAGCGATGCCTTCTTAACCTCGCTCATTGGTATGCCGAAATGCGGGTAAGGACTAGCCCCCCTCCTCTCCGCCTTCGCCATTCCCTTCTACACTATCCCACCGAGGACCCCGCGACGGTATGCGAATCAAAATGGGCCCACCAATTAATAATGACGCCGTTAGACCAGGCTTGGCCCGCGGAGATGGTGGAAGTTTAGTGTAGAACTTCTATTGTAAGACGTCAAAAATGTCATCAAGCCTCTCCCGCATGTGACAATAACAGCAAAATGTTTAAATTTACTTTCAGATCTCGCCTGGTGGTCTCGAGCAATTTCTTTTTTAGATATATATTTGTCTGTTCACAAGGAATAACATGTCAGCGAGGAGACGTTTTCCGCTGTCACATAAGAGACAGAATATGACTTTACCCTATTGTGACTTTGAACTATATGACGATAAGCAGACAGATTGTTTTTGTCACCCAACTAAGCGACCTTGAACCTTGACTGTTCTCTTTTCAAAACTACATCTAAAAATATTCCCGTCAGAAATCCAACTGATAGGATTTACAAGACCTTATGTCATCGCAAAGAAATCTCAGCTTCCACATACGCTACATAACTCTCTCTTTATCATCGGGAAGGAGTTATCGTTTTAGCAAGCTGCCGGGTCAGAGGTGGGACAGGGATATTTGAGTACGCCTAATGAAAGCGATATAAAAGGTGGTTCAGTTGTTGTTTGAAATCAGCCTGTTTTGTTTTTTGGGCTCCGTTACATGTGCTGCCACTAATTATACAAGCTAGGTAGTCCTCGCAACATCCACAAAAGAAAAGCTCGACCATTTTTGACATGTTCATTTAAAGTTACTAATCAGATGTAAATATGCAAAGCAGGGCCCATTGGGAATTCTTTGATATGCAAATAGAAAGTGCAAATAAAGGTGGGGGAGATGAAATAGTGTGTTTTTTTTTTTGTTCCCCCCCAAAAAGAGAGAGAGCGGGAGAGAAAAAAAATAAAAAATCGCGAGAAGCTACTGTCATGTAAGATAGCATTAATGCCACTTTGTTCACGGCAGAAAAAGGTGCACTCAAGATCTTACAGAGCCAAATCTTTGACGTGGATTCATGGCATCAAAAGCGCTCTGTGATATGAATCTCGTCCTATTTGCCGTTGCCGCGTATGGAAGCGTGTAAACCAAAGCGATATGTGGCCCTCCTCCGA